TGTATATATATATATACTTATATTTTATGTACTCATGTAATTTAGAACCAAACAAAGCCACCAAAAAATTAAGATAGTTACATATTTCCAACAATTATTTACTTTATACTTCATTTACTCTTTTTAAATAATCAATTCATACCTCGGTGACACCTCAATTGCAAACACCATTTAAGTAGAATGGCAGAAGAAGGGATGTTACAGAGAAAACTCTTATTTCATATAAAACAATTTTAGTTATCATATACATATTTACAAGAAAAATACACTAATCACAAGTGCAGGATATAAATAGCAACTACGAAATCATGTTTGTATTGTTCACACAATATTCTAGAGTAACAACTTCGCACAGCATAAAAGTGTTTCAGTGTAAATTCCGCCCTAATGTTATGCTTGGGGACCGATGTAGGTGTTTTACACGAGGTTTATTACTAAATGTGATTTCCTTGTTTCTTGAATGTCTCTGTACTAAAACACTTTTAAAGGTAAAGGTAAATGTCTGGCACTAAACACATTTCATAACTTAATCTCTATGACCTTTCTCTTTTACTCACTGCGAGGTGGCAAAGTTTTTCATTTCTGTCTTACACCTACATCTACACTTGAATATTCCAGTGTCATCAAACAGTCTCTTCTTCAGTTAATTCAGAATGTATATTGTTTCTAATGTTATATTACTATTACTTGCTTTCTTTAACAATTTGAAATAATTAGTTTCATCTTGCAAAAATATCTTTGTTTCATTACTTATTTTGCCATCTTTCCATTAAATTATCTACTCATATATGTATTTCTACTCTTTGTTTATTTAAAAAAATCTAATCAGACAGATTGAAATTCACTTAGTCTACAGGTCTTCTGTGGCAGGGGTATTTTGTAAACTGATTTAGGAATACTAATTTTCTAGCCATATTTCATTTTGGAGCTTCTTTTGAAGTAACAATAAGTCCCAGGCTTCATCATATGCTTGTTTTAGTCTCCAATGCGATGTTTCACAAAGGCAAATATTACTTTTCTCATCCAAATATACTAACAGTAATTATAAGTATTCAGTAATTCTTAAAGTAATTGAGAAATGTATTTATCTGTATTCTTCTTAGAATGGAATATAATAAATACTCTATTAGTAAATATTGTATTACTATTGGTGTACTTTTAGTCAGTGAAATATTTGGTGTATATCAAAAGAATATGATCATACATTAACCGATATTAATCTAGTTGTAGAAGATTTTCTTATCACTCCACTACAAAATAACATTTTGTTTGCTCACTAGAATTTCATTACTGCCATTCACTACATCTGACCATGTTTGATCACAATTTAATTACCTCTGACTAGTAATTTATTATCACGTGTTAACATTTCAATACTTCTAACCTGCAATCCATTACTGATCGTCTATTTTCTATCATTGATCAGAATTTAATTACTTCTGACCAGCAATTCACCACTGACAAGCAATGTATTACCCCCGACCTTGCATTTCATTAACTGTGACTAGCAAACCATTATCTTGGTTCACAATTTAATTACTTCTGATCAGCGAATCGCCTTTGACAAATAACTAATAACAAGCAACTTCTTACCTTTTCAGCAATTAATTCATTAACTCTGACTACATTACGCTGCCTGACCACATGCAATGACATGAATTAATTACTTGTAAAAGTAATAGATTTTCTGGGTAGGGCAGAACAAACGTTTTTTTCTAGTTTCAAGTAACAGTTGAAATATTGACTTGTTTTACAAATGAATTTTCCTGCCGTGATGTAAAAGTTTGTTAAAAAGCATAGTAAAACTAAATTAAAGGGAATCATTGTTTAATTATTGTATTGAGTTTGAACTTGTGGTTGTTCAATGAGTCAGTTCATTGTAACCTTTAACGACTCAGCTATGTAATTACCATGCAGAGGTTGACTAAGCCCACTAGCTTGTAGTTCAGAGGTTATCTAGAATATCAATATCACTACACCTACCTTAACTGTTATACTACTAGCTAACTGTTGTACTACCAGCTAACTGTTATACTACTAGCTAACTGTTATACTACTAGCTAACTGTTATAGTTCCACCCACACCCAACTTGTAGTTCAGATGTTATCTAGAATATCAATACCACAAAACCTACCTTAACTGTTATACTACTAGCTAACTGTTATACTACTAGCTAACTGTTATAGTTCCACCCACACCCAACTTGTAGTTCAGAGGTTATCTAGAATATCAATATCACAAAACCTACCTTAACTGTTATACTAATAGCTAACTGTTATAGTTCCACCCACACCCAACTTGTAGTTCAGAGGTTATCTAGAATATCAATACCACAACACCTACCAGCTAACTGTTATACTACCAGCTAACTGTTATAGTCTCACCCACACCCAACTTGTAGTTCAGAGGTTATCTAAAATATATCAATACCACTACAACCTACCAGCTAACTGTTATAGTCTCACCCACACCCAACTTGTAGTTCAGAGGTTATCTAAAATATATCAATACCACTACAACCTACCAGCTAACTGTTATAGTCTCACCCACACCCAACTTGTAGTTCAGAGGTTATCTAGAATATCAATACCACAACACCTACCAGCTAACTGTTATACTACCAGCTAACTGTTATAGTCTCACCCACACCCAACTTGTAGTTCAGAGGTTATCTAGAATATCAATACCACAACACCTACCAGCTAACTGTTATACTACCAGCTAACTGTTATAGTCTCACCCACACCCAACTTGTAGTTCAGAGGTTATCTAGAATATCAATACCACAACACCTACCAGCTAACTGTTATACTACCAGCTAACTGTTATAGTCTCACCCACACCCAACTTGTAGTTCAGAGGTTATCTAGAATATCAATACCACAACACCTACCAGCTAACTGTTATACTACCAGCTAACTGTTATAGTCTCACCCACACCCAACTTGTAGTTCAGAGGTTATCTAGAATATCAATACCACAACACCTACCAGCTAACTGTTATACTACCAGCTAACTGTTATAGTTCCACCCACACCCAACTTGTAGTTCAGAGGTTATCTAGAATATCATCACTACACATACCATAACTGTTATTCTACTAGCTAACTGTTATAATGCACTTTTTTAGGATTATAAAATTACTAGTGTACCTGTTGCTCGAATTCGAGCAATTGTGAAGCATTACAGACGTTATTTTAAAACGAATAACGGTCATAATTTCCGATAACTTTATAAAAGTCGACTCAATGATAATGGAAATACTCACGATGTACACAACAGTTAGATATAATCTAAATTGTTTGTAAATATCTTATCTTCTTTCAAAAGCTGATCTTGTTTTTTAGAGTTTTCTACAAATGTTTCCCACTCATAGCCTCATAAGGTTCTCTATAATAACGATTATAAATGAAGAAAAAACACATTATTTCTATTTCTTCTACTTGTTTGTGTTCTATGACTTTCTTATGTTTCCATTGTTTGCAAATCGGCTCTTTCAATGATTGCTCAAGAAATGTAGCACATTGTTAATTCAGTTTTATTTTTAGTATGCCTATATCAAATTGTCCAGAATTTCTCGCTGTTTTCCATTGTAATAACTACACCAACCCAAGTATTGTCTACAGATGCAATACGCCAAAGAATATCACCTACGTACAATCTCCAAGAAGTGGTAAAAAAGTCAGAAACTAACCCTGACAATAGACATAAGTTGACTCCATAAGAAATAACTTTAAGAGTTACTGTGATTTGGCAATAGTACATTATATTGCAAAACATGACACGATGCAGAAGAAAATCAATTTTAAAAACAGAAAAAACCATTGCAAACACTTCATTTTGACAAATTCAGTAAATCACAGTTTAAATATTAACAGCTGTTTCATTAAAAAGTAGTGTAAAATTATACATATGGTCATAATGTAAACAAATCTGCTGAGGGAACTTTAAAGGCCTCTGGGGCAGAGCCCCAAGGGAATTTAGCTCGTTCTTCTTTTGATGGCTCATCTACAGACGAAGACCTTTCTTTAGAGACCCCTACCAAGTTTCTACGCCCAGCCGTTGTCTGAAATTAGCTGTGACAAAAACCCGTTTTCCCCCGATAAGAATAACATGGGATGGGGATTTAAAGGCCACTGGGGCAGAGCCCCAAGGGAATTTACCACGTTTCTCTTTTGATGGCTCATCTACAAACCAAGCCCTTTCTTTAGACACCTCTACCGTGTTTCTACGCCCAGCCGTTCTCTCAAATTAGCTGTCACAAAGAAAAACAGTTTCAAATTAATATATAGATTATCTGTTGTATGTATTAGTAAAGGTAATCAAATGCTGTGTAATATTTTAAAAATTTATAACCTTGAAGATACTTGTTTTGAAAGAACTAAAGGGTGGCAGTCTGGCAGTCGAGTTAAAGAGTTTGTAGCAAAGCAAGGCTCAGTAAGAGCTGTATAGAGATTGCGACTTTGCCAAAACAAAGTAAACTTCTCTCTTTCTGTGATGTTCTTTTGTTTCTGTAGGTTTTAAGCAAAAGCTTTGCACTTCTCACATGACACACTCAATGTTTGTTCAGTACTTACGCTTTTTTAAATATAAAACCTGGATTTATTTTTTGTAATGTTATGTTGATGACAAGGCTCAATGAGTAGTTTTGTTTTCAAAATTATTACATATGCAGCATAAGTTAGGAATGCTGCTGGGATTATTTTACCCAATGATACTTGCTCAAAACTAGTCTACTGCAATAACGACATCGGCCATGAGTAGTACTTCTAAAGTCACTGGTTGCATAACTATGTGATTATATATACTTTTTGCTTAGATAGGCGTATGTGTAAATTTGGCAATGTTACTCTCATGTCCAATATTTAAACTCTCGGAGCTCAAAGGGTCTTGTACACACTTGTGGATATTGTTTTTTTTCAAACATTCAGCAATGTTTACAGAATATTGACAAAGGTTTTTGGTCTTTTAAGTTTCTAAATTTTGTTACTTGTTGCAGTACATGACGGAGAAGATGGGAGGAGCGGAGGGCACAAAGCTGGACTTGGAGTTTGTCGACATGGAAAGGGTGAGTTTTACCATGGATGTAACATCCCTCGTAAATTTACCATCCTTGTAGATCAGCTGATGACCATTTAAACATATTAGTACAGGTAAAATAGGGTTTTATAAACAACAAAATTTGTACATTCATGAAATTTCACCTGTGAGTTACTAATAATATGAGAAATGAAGATCCGATGAGGGTCCAAAATTTTGGGCATGCTAAGGCCCTTTTTGGGGCCCTTTTTGTTCCGAAGGGCCCTTAATCCTGAATAATTTTGTTTTTACGTTTAAGGTCGTGTGAGGTGTGGTTTTCGATGGTTTTAGTTATTTTAAATCGATAGGGACTAGTTTTATGTGTATTAAACCACTCCGTACAGGGTGTTTAGAAATATTATTACTTTTTACAATATTTAAACATTTATTCATAAAGTGATGAAATTAGTTACTTCCATGCATTTATCCAAAAAAAAAGGGATTATTGAAAATAACTGTAATTCTTTACTATATAAGAGAGAAGGATCTCAAGGAGTAAGAGAAAATATTAAATACCCCCGTCACAGCAAACCTGCAGACTAAGCTAATTTTAATTTGTCCGATTTTCAATTAAATCTAATAGTTTAATGAAAAAAGGGTCTAATAGTTTAATGAATACTTAGGTTTGCTGCTACAAGGAGGCTAATAAAGTGTGTTTATAGTAAAATCTTAACAGCCTAGTATAAAACAAATACCACTCCATACAGGGTGTTTCGAAATATTATTACTTTTTACGATATTTAAACATTTATTCATAAAGTGAAAAAAATTAGTTACCTCCATGCTCTATATAAAAGGGGATTATTGAAAATAACTGCAATTCTTTACTATATAAGAGGGAAGGATCACAAGGAGTAAGAGAAAATATTAAATACCCCCGTCACAGCAAACCTGCACACCTAGCGAATTTCCGTTTTACTTACTTGATTTTCAATTAAATCTAAAATAGCGTTGCGTTTAATGATAACCTAGGTTTGCTGCTACAAGGCGGCTAATAAAGTGTGTTTATAGTAAAATATTAAAAGCCTAGTATAAAACAAATAAATTTAATAAGTTTGATCAAAATATATCTATTAACAATAAAAAAAATCATTTTACACTATTCTACATAAGAATAACATGGGAATTTTAAATTTATAATTTTAGTATTTTTATCCGTAACTAGTATCATACAAAAACACGTTAATATACTAAATTATTTTTTTAAGCTATTTAAAATGTTCTAGAGAAAAATTGGGAAACTTTGTGTTTTGAGGGTAAAGTAAATAAGAAAACCCAATTTTTACCCCATAAACCTCGTTCCCATTGTTCAGGACAAAAATGCTTGTGCCGACAATGCTGCTCTGATGTCTTAGTGCTGTCCTGGTCGTCATAACCACGAAAGATAACTGTACTTGGATTGATTGAAAATAAGTTTGAGGAACTTAAGATACAAGTTAAAAACGTCAGTATGTATGAAAGGTGTTTTTGCACCACATTGTTCGTGCTTTAAGATTGGTGTTGCCTGTTCTGCAATATGCAAGGTTTTAGGTTTGTAAAGGGGAATCCTGCTTGAACACCAACTTGGACAAAATCAGTAAAGATGGACAAGTTGCTAAGAATAATAAAATTTTTAATGAGTCGTCTGAGAATAATTATTGTGATAATGAAATTGTAAAGAGAGATACTACATAAATTGTAGAAAAATAGCTTTAGTTTAAGTACTTCATTTTAATATGTAATGTAAGGTTATATACAAATGCAATTGTTTTAATTTTTAATAAATGTAAAAAAATAACTTTAATACTACCTTAGAAAAATACATATCAATTTGAAATTGGTCTTAATAGATTTGCATAATAAACTCGTTGAAAGATTATTCACACCACCTTAAAAGTTGAAATTTTTGCTTAGTAACCTATGTTATCATGTTATAGTGTGAAACTTCATCCATCCCCTTCATCCCCTTTTAGCGAACATCCCATTTAGGAGATAAGCTATTACCGAAGGTCTCATGGTAAAACATAGACCCGAAACCGATTTACGTTTTCATTTCGATGGCCCCAGAAGCCTAAAGCACCATCTACTCAAAATAGTATATATGTGTTTATATCCATATATAATATAATATATCCATGTTATATACGTGTCCATAAACATGATAACTCGAGTAATTTAGGTTCAATTTTAACGAAACCGGCATAATCGGTCCATGGAACAGGGTTTTATGTCGTAAAAATATGTAATCTTTGACCCTCAAAAGACAAAGTTTCCCAATTTTTCTCTACAGCATTTTAAAGAGCTCAAAGAAAACAAATAATTTAGTATATTAACGTGTTTTGTAAGTGTGTTAGTTACAAATAAAATTCAAAAATAGTAAATTTAAAATTCCATGTTATTCTTAAGGAGAATAGTGTAAAATGATTTTGTTTGTTTGTTTATAAATATGTCTTAGTAAAACTTGTCAAATTTATTTGTTTTATACTAGGCTATTAAGATGTTACTATAAACACACTTTATTAGCCTCCTTGTAGCAGCAAACCTAAGTATTCATTAAACTATTAGACCTCATTTCATTAAACTATTAGATTTAATTGAAAATCGGGCAAATTAAAATTCGCTTAGTCTGCAGGTTTGCTGTGACGGGGGTATTTAATATTTTCTCTTACTCCTTGAGATCCTTCCCTCTTATATAGTAAAGAATTAGTTATTTTCTATAATCCCCTTTTATATAGAGCATGCATGGAGGTAACTAATTTTATCACTTTATGAATAAATGTTTAAATATCGTAAAAAGTAATAATATTTCTAAACACCCTGTACGGAGTGGTTTAATACACATAAAACTAGTCCCAATCGATTTAAAATATCTAAAACCATCGAAAACCACACCTCACACGACCTTAAACGTAAAAACAAAATTATTCAGGATTAAGGGCCCTTCGGAACAAAAAGGGCCCCAAAAAGGGCCTTAGCACGCCCAAAATTTTGGGGACTCATCGGATCTTCATTTCTCATATTGTTAGTAACTTACAGGTGAAATTTCATGAATGTACAAATTTTGTTGTTTATATGGAGTGTTTTTGTATTATTTTACCTGTACTATATGTTTCAGTCCAGTACATGCAGAGTGTTTTTAATTTAATATTTTCCTCTTTCAATTTAATTTCATTTTTAAATGATTTTATACTTGACGTGGCTTGACGTGAGAAATTGAATCTTTGACGAAAAACCACGTCACAACCGGATGATCACTGCTATATTCAAACATACTGGCATCGTTACAAGTGTACTGGCCTGAGGGCAAATTATTTCCGCACAGTGAAGTTTTAAGTGAAAGTTTTTGAATTTGTATTGCCGTTGTATTACAAGTTGCCCTGAAGATGGTGCTCTGTATCAAGGCCAACACTTTTTTTACCAGGCTTCGGCTTTTTAAATTACCCTTGACTAAGCCTAAAGGGTAGCGGCATTATCACTTAGATCAAATCCTTTGGTGAATGGCAAGATTTAAACCTGGGACCTCAGGAACCAAATTCCCACCTCTACCACAAGACCAGCTCGCTCCTTGTGGCGAAAACATTGGAATGTAGCAGTGGTAATTTTAATGTAATATGGCTGTCGCTTGAGGAACAAGACTACAGTACTACATTGTAAATTGTTTAAAAAGTTTGTTCATGAATGTTAATCTATTTGTAAACTATTGTTTGGGTTGTGGTGTTAGAAGCGAAGTAAAGCTCACATTTGACCTTAAAATTAGGGGGAAAAATTTAGACAGTATAACTTAAACGTAACCAGATATAAAACACCAGAACAAGCTTAAGAGTAAACAATAGTGTTGAGTCGTATTGTATTATCGAAAGTTGATGGTTCCACTAAACTCAGAAGTTAAAAAATCTGTTCAGTTTTTAGTATCTTCACCTTATTACGCCTTGGAAGTTTTGCAGATCTAAAAGAGAAGCAATCAATATGATAAAGAATTATTTATTACACAATTAATTTTACAAAAATAATATTTAAACCTAAAAGAAACTGATTATATTACTTGTCACAGTACTTGCAAATGTTCAACAAAATTATTAAATTTTGAAACGGTATTATACTTACGAATGCTATGACGTAAACTGATTACGGAGTCGACATAATAACACCGTTTGATTGCTCTATAACTTATAAATGCAATTTAAATTTAAAAAGTAGGTAATGTTTTATGGTGTATTAAGGTTTTGACATTGCTTGCATGTTAAGAAGATTGTCGAAAGAAGCTATGTCTCCATTGTGACAGGTTAAAAGTAGAGTCAATCTCAAATTGTACATCTTTCATCGTTGTGTTGAAATTGCTCAGTATCAAGGCTCGGAGATTTTCTTTTTTATCACGTATTTTATTTCTCTCTGGAGGAAAGGGATCAAATTTAGACTTAACTCTGATGTTTATATTGCCATCAAAATAAATAGTTTAAACCCCTATTATCAATTTACTGTAATCACTTTTGGAAAACATTTTCAAGCTTTAATGCACATTCAATTAAATTAATTGTGGTGCCATTTTAAGAGTGCCCATAGGGAATGTTTTTGGAACCAATCAAAATATTGTTTTAGATGCCAAAGAAAAGGTTCTCCCCTGTAGAAAAAATTAAAATAAAAAAGTTAAAAACATACTTTTAAATTGGTTCAAGAGGTGGAATTCTCTAATTCATGTTTATTATTTACTTATTTGTAATTTTATGAATATTTTGCACTTTTCAAATCAAAGTAAAAAATAATACTAAGCCATAAAAGAAAAGTTACACATTTTTTAACCACTTGACAGCTCCATGAACTACATGATGAGTAAATACTCACATCAACAAACTGTCTTGTTTTGGTGTTGTCGAGGGAAAATACCATGACGAGGAATAGTCGTAGGTAGAATATAAATGAAATATCACGTTGATCACGCAACAAGTCACATGTGATGTGGATGTGATGAGTTTTGGCAACCAAATAATTAATCCCACACTAAAATGTCACATCACTTTTGACCTTCGGAACACTATTTGTCAGATTAAGCTAACCTTTCGTGGACTTGATATATTTATGTATTTTTAAACTATAAGGCCTATGTATATATATTTTTTATACCTACCGTTTTATTTGATGATCTTAAGAGATAAAAGTTTAGTAAATTCTCATTAATTCTTTTGTTTTATATAGACTTCATTTAATACAGGCAACCATTTCACATCAGCTTAAGAAAATGTCACAAAGCCAAATAAATGGTATCAGCAATCTGACACATACTTTCTCCTGTTAACTTGTCAATAACCTTCATCATTTTATAAGGAAAATCACAATAAGCTGCAATAACTTTTGAACTGTAACTTTTACAGCTATGGCAGGTTGCCCTTTTTTGTTTGGCCATAACATAAGTTCTAATTTTTGCACCATTTAAAACTACAGTTTGTTATTTCAGATCCAATATATATTATTCAAGCTTTTTCTGAAAAAAGAGATTCACTATAAACTAGGGTGTCCAAATGGTCCCGGAATAGAATTGGTTTTCATAGTAAAGTTGTGTAAATAAATAAACCAGTTTTGGCAATTATTAATTATCTTATTTAATAATGGCTGCATTTTCAAAAGTGGATTAATAAAGAAAATGTTTCTTTATTGTCCGATTTTTAGATTTTAAGTTCCATTATATTTGGATTTGAATTTCTTGATTTGTTATAATTATTGGTTTAAACGATAGTTTTCATGAACCTGAACATTTTAAATGGCCACTATTTTGAAATTTACATTAGTGAAAATTGCCATAAATTAGTTGTTTCTTAACTGATATTTACAATTTAAGTTTCATAGGAATTTTGAATAAGAGGTAGGCTATTCATTTTTTTTTTTTAGTTCTGTGCATAATTTTTATACACTGGGTTGTTTTTATAGAATTTGGCTTTGACATTTTTTCTGGCCGGCATTTTAAATTTTATACAGTTTGATAACAAATATTGTTGGAGCTCTTTTAAAACATAAACAATATAACCTAGGGGGAAAATATCATCAGTTATTAATTATGATTAAATTAAATGAATGGTAACTTTGGTAATGAAAGCAAAACATCAATTTGGTGTTCTCAGTTAATAAATACAGTGATATTCACCCTGTGCTATGTGAGAAGAAGAAAACCATTTTAAGAACTAATTTTCTCTTGGCTCCGAGCTGTACGCTATTGAAGCCCTTTTAATGTGACATTAAATCACTGTTAACTCAACTTGAAATTCTATTAGTGGGTCATTCGTCTTTATTTACTGCCCAACTGACTTTGGGCCTTTTAATCACTTTGCAAATACTTTAAGATCCATTTAGAGGAAACGTTTCAGAAAATTTTGATTTCCTATTAAATTTTGATTGAAAGAAGTCTATGGTGAATGACGAATTTGTCCAACCTTTCAATTCAAAGGCACATTTTAACGATCTATTTTGTGTTTTTAACACCATGGCCATTTTTAAACTTTGTTGTACTGGTCTTGTTACTTCCGTCTAGGCTACTTAACATATTTACACCTAATTTAATTAGTTGTAAAATATTAGGAAAATATTTGGCATAGTTTTATAATAGGATAAAAATCTTAAGAATTATTTGTTTATCAACGTGGCTAAAGGGAGTGTTTGGGTTTTGTGAACAAACAAAGTTGTTCCCAATCCAAGCAAATCATAAATTAATCTTTGTTATGGGATAAAATTGTAATAACCAATGACGACTAGTAATGCACTTCATGCATTTAAATATTAGAACATTTACCACGTTACTGGTTACTGGTTACTGCTGTGGCCACTGGTACCCTAGATGGTACTTGGCCTCCCCAACACACTGCCTCCATAGGTCTCTGCTTCTTGCATCTTCCTTCCTTCTCCCTAGCTTCCTCAGGTCTTTCTCCACTTGGTCGAACCATCTAAGTTTCGGTCTTCCAAGGGGTCTTCTACCTTCTGGGTTATTCCTCAAGATGTTCTTTGATAGGGAGTTGTCATCTTTTCTTAGAATATGCCCTGCCCATCTCAGTCTTCTGCTCCGTACCTCAGCGACAATATCCGGATCCTTAAATAATTCTCTAAGTTCCCAATTTTATGTCTCGATCTCCATTTACCACGTAAAGTTGTTTAATGTGAAATTCATTTATACCCCCTACCTCCCTTAGATCACATAACTGTGAGCATTACACAGTTTATGGTGGGGTTTATTGGGGTAGTTCATAGCTAAATTATCACTTCAGAGATGTAAAACTGAGCTTTACTGTTCGCCAAAACAATCTACCTCTCCTGATCTTTGTGCAGAATATATGGGTGGTGCTTGCCTGACAAAACAATAATTATGATAACCTGTTCAAATCTCACAATAAGGTGCTGATTTTATACTGTAGATAATATTATTTTGTTTTGTTCTACCTCCATTATTTAATTTTTAATAAGTACATGTTAGTTGTCCAAAATCAACCATTGTTGTAATATGTAACCACCAGTATGTTCTTTAATGTAGTTCTGGGTGAAAATTGGATGTTCATACCGTACCCATATAAAAATTTCAGTAACCATTCTTCAAAATTATACAGTATGATCCATTTTATTTTCTAGAATAGGCTTGTTTTTTGGCATCAGAATTGATCTTATTATCATTAGAGATCAGTTGTATCATCAGTCAGGATCATTTATTTAAAGCCCAATGATCAGGAACAGCTGAATCCAGTTTCAAACCTTAAAAAAGCTACTGACTTCTCTCAGGATCAAACCGGCGACATGTTGGCGACATTTTGATTAGCGAGCACATTAAGCACTCGCTACCTAGCTTCATATACATATTGGGTGGCAATGTTGAAAGTGAATGTAAAATATTAGTGAAGCTTGCACTTTTCTCAGGAAGCTAATCTTTTAAAAAATTGGGCAGCAATTACTTTATTTAATAACACAAAAATCCCATATACATTTGATTGGCTAAACAAGTCTACAAGGAGTTTTTTTTTTATCTATGTCAACCCTAAAGCAAACTTGAAATTTCCTTAGTTTCACAGGTTTGCTGCTACAAGGGTGGCAAATCAGCCTGGATACGTTTAGAAAATTAAAAAAAATATGATCACTTTAAACTGAGTTTAAGTCTGCTCACACTGTACTAGCAAACTACATGAGTAATAAAATGATTCTACCATAATCCTGATAGAAATTATGCATGCAAAGGATGATAGTTTGCATAGCAAAGTGTGTAATCCTGAAGTAATCTTTTGAAAGAATATAAGAAGTCATCAACCTTTGTCTATTATCATTTACTAAATTATCATTTACTGAATTTTAATATCACTGTAACCAATGTTTAAAGAACATAGATATCATTTAGAATCGTTTAACTTTTTTAGCTGATTTGAGTTTTGATGACATAAAAAAAGTATATTTTGTTAGATTTAGCTTCCATTTATTTGGTCTAACCAATTAAACTGACTGGTGATTTTATCATATAAAATAATACCGAGCATAAGTTGTTGGATACAATTTACATTTACAAAAATATTTAGTATAATATCTAATTTCTTGCAGACTTTTCATTTAATAAAGGTAAAAATCCAACGAGTAAACAATACTTAGCACACAGAACCTCAAGGGCTAAACAACGATGAAGCAATATCAAACTCAACTGTCGCAAACTATTGGACTTCTCAACTTTTCCCATCACTCCGACTTTTTATTAATTCTGTCAAGATATGAGTTTTAACTGATTATTTTGAAATATCCTAGTTTTAAAAACAGTTTGTTTCACCTTAATTTTAAGGATTTATGAAGACAAGGGCTTTTCAGGTTAAGTGTAAGAAAGGGCTTAACTTTGTCTGAATAAATATAGAATTTTTCCATTTCATTTCCATTTCTAAAGCTGTTTTCTGTTTAAATGTCTCTCCATATTTAATTAGTTATTGTTTCATAATTATCAATTTTTCACAAAAGAATTATTCTGTTAACGTAATAAGCAATTAGAGCAAACTAGTTGATGTATCTATGTTAAATTGTCATGTACAATGAACCCCTGTAAGTTCAGAACCCAATAATATACAAATGGTACAAATGGTTTTGCTTAAACCGTACAGCCATTCAATACTACAAACAAAAAAAACACAAAATTACACCCTAATTTAATTTTTCTATTTCTAATATTGTATATTATATTAGTTAAGCTTTTACTAACCTAATGAATTTCTATAGTTCAACCCAATCGAAATAATTAAAACAATTATTTGTTGAAATAAGAGCAAGTTAATTAAAGAGAGTGCCGGGATCATTAGGGATTCCGAGGACCCTTGGAGATACTCACGCCTCTGAATATTTTACCTTTTTTCTAAACAATCTTTTTCAGGGCGGAAAATCAACATTAAAAGTCCATTTTAATAATGTTTTTTTTTCTGTTTGATAGAGCGATTAGTATCCCTCTTTAAATAGATGTTTACTCTAATACCATTTTAATGATTGTGTAAATAAAGAGAAAGCTGGGACAACTAGCCCTGGTTTCCTTTGTCTAGCTAACTTACTAATTGGTCTGAACTTTTATCATTGTTTCAAATTATTATTAATATTACCACTTGAGATCAAGATCCACAATTAGGTGCATATTTTTACCAAAATATTAGTGAGGGATGAGTGTAGAATGAAGTGTGATTATCTGTGTAAAGTTGTTTAGCCAGGATAATTTATTTAAAGCCTAATGATCAGGTACAGCTCAAAACCTCATCATGATCAGGGTTTTGAACCGTAGCAGGATTTAATGGAGTGTGGTTTAAAACAATTTGACTTTATGTTAACTCATCATAGTCAACGCTCAAATGTTTACACTCAACATCATTTTACACAACCACTAAACATTTAAATCATTAATTTCTTTGTTATTCACAGAAAACAGACGTAACGTTCGAGTTGGTGGACGAGCTGCAGTTGAAGACGAAAGAGTATCTGCAACCCAACCCCACGGCCAGAGCCAAGATGGCCGCAGTCAAGGGTATCTCCAAGCTGAGTGGGCAAGCCAAAGCTTCCACCTATCCTCAGAGTGAAGGTGTACTGGGGGAGACCATGGTCGGCTACGGGAAGAAACTGGGCGACGACAGCATCTTCGGTAGGAGACAAGAAATTTGGGTTTTGCACTTTAAAAATGTAATACTTTGTGATTATTGTGAACATTTTTGCTTCACGATTAGTAAAGATCAAAGTTAACCACATGATTAGTTGTGTTCAAACTACTGTTTTATGTGCTTTTACTGTCTTGTTGTTTGATTTAAAAAAGGATTTTGTTTTTATTTTTGTTTGACTGTACAGTATTATTCATGTACCTACTATTCTGTGAATGGGTTTGATTGTTTTCCCAGCTTCCCCTAGGATTGTGTTCTATTCTTGTATGTTTGGACATTTTCTCAACTGAGGATGGGCTCAGATTCCAGAATACGAAACATCATAAATACTTTTTTTCAAAATTGAGTATGACATTTTGCTTATTTTGCATAAGCTTGTCATACAAAATGTTTTGGCCTATTTGTAGATTCCACTTTCTTTTTGTTTTGACTTGTTTATCATTGCAGTCATCCTGCAACTAATCAACATACAAAAAAACTCAACAATTACCCCTAGATTGGAAAGGTTCTTGGCAAAACCTTTACAATGTTTAATGTTTCCTGTGGTGGATTAACTGCTTACAGATATTTGAAAAACAGTTGAGAGAAACTCCACTCTATTTAACGGTGGAAGCCTTTTATGAAGAGAAATGTGCTGAAAATGTTGGTAAACGAGAACGTTTTGCAGGACAAGCGTTGGCTGAGTTTGGCGAAGGGCTGAAGCAGATGGCTGATGTCAAATACTCCTTGGACGACAACTGTAAACAGAACTTCTTGGAACCTCTGCATCATCTGCAGACCAAGGACCTCAAAGAAGTCATGGTAAGTAAAGAACTTCGCCTGAGGAAAGTCTGAGTTTTTATTTTTTGAGTTCGTGTCTTGAGCGATTTTACTTTTTCTCCAACAAAGACTTGGCTGACACAACAAAATCTTAAAGTACAAATTTGCTTCAACTGTTTTCAAACTTTTCAGTCAAGGTGTCCAAGATTAAGAAAGCTGATGGGGTAACTGAAACCAACATTGTTGAGGTTTAAAGCCACAGTAAATCTTCATATTTCCTTTTGAATTGTATCATTGTTGTCACGATCGTCATCATCACCATCATCGTGTTGAAAAATATAACCTCTCATACAAAAATCATTATTCCTCTTCTAGTAGCGGTAACAACGCCCAGTTTGGTTTCACCAGTGGCTTGCACATTAAACAACTCTCCAGCTGTTATTTATCAACGATTCAGCAGCCAAAAAATTGGCCAGCCAGACAACTTCAAGTTGATGTTTGGAACTGAGGCTGTAGCCCAGATAAACACATTACCAACATTATCAGCACAAACAAAACTGTACGTTGTATTGAGGGTGTAAAAAATGTTAATGATTTCATGCTCTAGCAAAAAACTGTTCATGGATTTTTAGCTTCAGAGTGAGTATAAGAATGTAATAGAATTATTTAAGTACTTCAACTGAAGAATTCTGATGTTGTGCTATGGCGAATAGTTACAACTTGTAGACGAGCAATGCACTAAGGTTTGTTACAAAGAGTTGGTTGAATCTCCATACACAAATAGGAGATTTTTACCTGCACATTTACACACAAGCAACAAGTAGACAATAGCTTGCATCAATAAAATCAATTTATTTTCAATATATGAACAGATTGTAAATAGTAATAGATTTATCCTTATTGCAGGTTTCAACCTAATTATTTGAGATGAGGAATTGTTTAAAGGCCTGTCATAACTTTTTAGGTTATAATCTCCAATTTGTGCACCTAAAGGATCTGCTGAGGATTTCCATTGTAATTATTTCACAATTTTACAGAAAGTTTGTTTGTTTAGCATCATAGGAAGAAGCTGCAAGGTCGGAGGCTAGACTTTGACTGCAAGAGACGAAGGCAGGCCAAAGGTAAGAATTGCACACCTTTTTACTGTCTGACTCTTCTCATCGGTCATTGTTCTTCTTTATGGCAGGATAGAGTAAAAATCATAATTTTATAGATAACAAAATTTTGTTCAGTTTTATATCTAGGATTCAACGTTATTTTAGTGATTATTGAATGATAAATTTAACTAGAAAATCATTAATTGATTTACTATCATAAAGTATTTTTATTCTTTTATTGATTTATACTTTGTATGGTCGCCATTTCAATGAAAAGTATTAAAGATTTAAATGTTTGATCAAACTTCTAAAGTATTAATTTTTTTAAGAACACTTATGAATACATTAAGAAAAAAGGAATGGTTACGCAAATAACTTGTCCAAGAAAGGAGTTTCATACTTTTCATTAGAAGGAATTTGTAGAATGTGAATACTAATACTTTCCTAAGAAGAAGCCTCCTTTGCGGGGCGAAATATCAAATGATTTTTTAAATATTTTTATCTATTAACTGTCTGTAACTCTTTTCTTGGGTAAGTTAGTCAAATTTCCATTCCTTCTTACTTTACGTATTCCAATAAGTGTTATCATTCTTTATGTAAACATTTTAATTCTTTCTACCTCATTTCAAAAATGTTTTGTAATTTAAATTTCATTTCTTTACTCAAAAAATAATAATAATTACGTGAAAGTTTGTAATCTGATTCCTGTTCGTCTTGTTCTTGACTGAGTGGTCTCTGGCTGTCGGAGAAGTTTCGATGTTCACATTGATGTTTTGCACCTAGTTAGTATTCTGGCACAGCACCGCACTTTTATGTTATGAAGAAGAAGTGATGTGTAGGGATGTGTTCAGCGGGGGTGTCTGTTGTAGCTAAGGGAGGCGCAGGCCTCTACAGCAGCCCCTCTCGCTCCCCCGCCCATGTCGCCGGTCCCGTCGGTACGTAGACAACTGTAGGCGTAAATTAAAGTTGAAGGTAGTTGTCGAAAGAGAAATATTTTATTGATGGCAGTATAACACATTGACAAGTATCGTTGAAATCCAGAATAGTTTTGTTATCTTCCTGAAAAACGCTTACCTCATTCGTATAAGCAGTCACAATGTACAGTCATCCACATTGGTTGTTAGACGAATTTCACTATAGTGTACAATCTGTGGTTAAAGCATTCCAATTAGGTGATTTGAATATGTCAAGGGATATTTAACAAGCACTGAAATTGTATTCACTAGTGTGTGTTTGGTACACATCTTATACTATCACAAGCACGTTTGGAAAAAGAAGGTTATTTAAAGATTTCTGACAAAAGTTGTCACTCAGTAATCACTTGGTGGATGAGGTTTCTCTACGTTCTTCTGTGGTCGATGCTCGTTGTTTCACCAATATCTTAACACCTCTCAAGAGGAGGATTGTACATCTTAGCAATCAATTTCTTGTTTTTGTCTTTGATCTTAAAAAAACAGTGATTAATTTGGTATAGGTTCGCTCTCAAACCGTGAGGGAAAGAAAGTTTTTAACAATTTTAGTGTGGTGTAAATGAAATCATAACTTATCACCCCCCCCCCCCCCCCACCCCTTCATTGCCAGTGAATTTTCTCTTTCCACCTCAAATAAACCTAAAATCTCTTGTACAACTGGGCCCGGCTCATGTACTAATGCAACTTTGCTTTTACTACAGTAGTTTAAGCTTTTTAAACGTACACTTGTGCCTCCAAGAAAGTAATTAATTGAGTATCCACAAAGTAAGGTACTTAACATCTTAAAACACATTTTGAAAATATTGTAACATGTTTAAAAAAACTATATTTTAATATTATTGATATTTCAGTTATATATAAATAAGATTTATAATATTAGTAAGATGAATAAAACATTTTTTTTAATGTTTTTCAGAATGTTATTAATATTTTAATATACTTAAAAATTTGGAATACATTTAATAGTTTCAATTAGTTATTATTTAATTATTTTTAATATAACTTATATATTTTAAATATTATTTATATAGGACGAACAACTTAACCATGCCACCATTAATGTATCAGAAACTATTATATTTAAAGAAAACATTAAATTAAGAACTTCAACTATTTTTTATGACATCGAATTCCACGTTTTCAAAAATTGCTGCCATTTTCCAATATTGCGTCTAACTTTGAATTTCTTATAGAACACCTTGTATTTTATGATTGTTTTAGGATGTGATTAAAAAATTTGTATTCTCGACATATATCTTCTTGATTAGTAGTTATATCGTGTTAAACTTTGAAAAAGGTGCTTGCTATGTACATTCTGCTTTCTTTAGCTCCTAAACAAGTAGGTTTGGATAGGAAATATAAAGGATAGAAAAGTTAATTTTCACCTATATTTTAAAAGGATTTTTAAATAAGTTACAGGGATTTCAAATTTTTATGTTAGCTGCTTTACTGGAAAATGGCAGCTATTTTTAGAAATAATTAATATATGTCTATTTTAATGTATTCTATGATCTTTTTATTAGAATTGCATCCGCATTCTAAAAAAGATCATATAATACAATTAGGTCCTCTCTGAATTCCAAGTTCCTGTCATTCAAGTTAATCAAATGGTTATTTAACTTATGAATGAAATTCTACAAGACAGAAATTAAAGTAAAAATAATAAGTACCACCAAAAAACCTTCTATAACACTACTCTCTAGACTGTTCTCTTCCGTTGCAACATACAGTAGTCAGTCACAATTACTGTAGTTGGTACTTTATTGTTTTGTTTCTTGTGCTCTGCAGTATGGGTAACGTTTAGTTTAATGCATAATTCACCAGTTTAGTGGTTGTTGTGTCGTTTTTCTCTTTTTCTCAACTCTGCATGACTCGTGTCGTCTTCTGCATTCTTTTATTCCATTCTCAATGTTCTATCTACTAGTGTTGTATGTGGTTTTTGTCACCACCAGTAATTTTACAGACATTTCTGTCAAATATGTTCCACACTATTAGAAAAAATTGTGTGGTATACTTTTTAGCAGTATATACAAAGTAAGGGGAGCGAGCTGATCTAGTGGTAGAATATGGGACTTGGGTCCCGATTTCAAATCCCACCAAATCACCAATACATTTTATCTAAGTAATAATGCCGTAACTCCTGGGCCTAGCCTGAAGTGTTGTGAAAAACTATCCCGGGCTAGAACCTAGTGTCCTAGGTCAAAAAATTTTCATACACCAAGTTTGTTCAAAATTTTGCACTGTTAATTCAATTCAGTATGTAAACTAAAATTAGTTTTACCCCCGGCTAAGAGTTCTTTTCCGCTAATTTATGGGTAGCATCATACTATGAAAGTAAAAACAGAAACTATATCATCAACTAAACTACAAGTTAGTATTAGGTTGAACAAATTTTATATATAATACAGTCCTGCATAATTAAAATAATGAGCACTTCAATACTGCAAAATTTGGTCGTAATAGTTTGACGCTTTTGGATTCCCACCTGTAATTATACCCTCAAAAGCCATTACCCCTTCTTCAGGGTGCCTACTGTCCACTATACAGGGTGTCCCCGAACTCTCTACCAATATTTTAGGGCATTGCTCCTGGTTAAGAAACTTACCTAAATAGCATATTTAAATTGTCCGGAAGTCCTTAGCTACTCACACAGCCGCCATTTTGTTTTTTTCAGTTATTAATTTTTTTCTAAAGAATGGTTAAACATACGAAATGGAAACTTTGCACAAACATTTATGACAACTAGACAAAGCTACCAAAAAATTATCACGATTTTTCAAATTCATAAAACAAATTGGCGGCCATTTAAAATTTTATTTCTTAAATAACTAAAAAAAAAATTGATTTTACAAAAATTTTAAATGGCCGCCATTTTGTTTTATGAATTTGAAAAATCGTGATAATTTTTTGGTAGCTTTAAATTCCTAGTTGTCTAGTTGTCATAAACGTTTGTGCAAAGTTTCCATTTAGTATGTTTAACCATTCTTTAGAAAAAAAATAATAACTGAAAAAACAAAATGGCGGCTGTGTGAGTAACTTAGGACTTCCGGACAGTTTAAATATGATATTTAGTTATGTTTCTTATCCAGGAGCAATGCCCTAAAACATTGGTAGAGAGTTCCGGGACACCCATACACATGAACTTCTACTGGCCACTGCTCTACATATGTTACTGAAAAGTTGCTGATGTTTGGGGATCATCAAAAAGTCGCTGATTATCATTTACTAATACAGCTATAAACAGTATTTTGATTATTAAAACTGTCAACAATTGAAACGGCAATGGAAAATTAGCAGTTAGTGAAAAACAAACAGTGCAAGTTTACAGTATCAGAATTTACTTAGTTAATTGCTTATTAACAAATGGTTTCTGAAATTCGAGGAATTTTCTTAATTATAACTGACCACAGTCACCATCAGATAATTACGGAATATTGCAGATTATTCTTCAAGGGAAAATATTGATGAGTATCCTTAATCGTAAGCATTTTTCCTTAAATTAGCGTACTATTCCAGTCAGAAAATTCAAACTCACAACAATGCATTATCTCTTAAGCCTGTTTTTATCACAATGACAAGATATTACAGTAATTTTAACAATTTTAAACTCGTATATTGAGTTCTGTTCTCTTTTCTTTTTTAGCTAATCAGTGATCTCCTCCCAGAGAACCCTTTAAATTGTGAAAAATTGAATGTTGTCAATTACAATAACCTAGTTCTGTGAGTTTTTAAGTTAACCTGAAAAATAGGCACAAATAAATAACTGGTAGGAATATGAACTGGCTCTTTTGTTGATAATGTTATACAGCTTTATTAGTAGAAATTCAGTTTTCATACAAGAGTTTTGCATTTTATTTTACATGGCGATCGTTTATCAATTGTGCATCGTTTAAGTTTAGTAGTTTCTTCTTCTGTTCTACATTAAAAATTGGTGGTGTTGTATATACTTGTGTATTTATCTTCAAATTGTTGTTCTTGGCATTTTATCTGAAATGTGTTATATTTGCTGTCATCTTATTGCTAGGTTTTTTTGTGGATCTGAGTAAAGAGAATAGGTGAAGGTGTTGTTATCTCTAAAAATACTATTTCACATTAAGTTCTACTAATACTTTTCGGATGGCTTGGTCCAGATTTGGTCTACCTATTTATCTTATCACACTAACAACTTGCATACAATAAAGTAGATAATGTGTCAAAGTTTGCGTACAACACCAAGTTACTACATTTCCGATGCACAAAAGCCTAATGTAAACACCTCGACCCAAACATTTTGGTAATTAAGATCTGGACACTTATCGGAACAATGCAGTGACAGTGTTGCCACTATAATACTCCACTGTATTAAATCCTTTTGATCAGACATTGTTTTAATTTTCATAACAGTATTAGTAGTGACGTAGCCACAGTTTTTGCACTAGTAGCTAGCTTTGAGCTGGAGCTTATGCAAGAAATTTACATCATACAAAAAGTGGTACATATGATAATCATATTCCTTGTGTTCTCATGTTGCAAAATACTAAATAACAAGTTGAAATGTCTGCATTTTCAGTACATTCAAATACATTTGTTCATTATAATAGTAATACATTTTTGTGGAATGAAACAAAAACTGTAAGATATATTCTACTTAGTAGGCTTCTAAGGTCGGAATGGGCATACAAATTTTTGACTTTGGGAGATGACTGAGCTGTTAACATGTAGTGAGAGTCGTTTTTACTGGATGTTTTTACTGGATGGATTGATATATTGTATTCAAAACATCAGAGATTGTTGCAATTAGTTTACAAGGCGATTATTTATAAAAAAAATATTTTTTAATCATCATTCTGTTATTCTAATGACCATCCACATTCAGCCTTAGTTTGCTCCAAATATCAGCAAATACTCTTCCGATGTACGATTTAGCTTACTCCATCCAATAGTCCTTGCAAATTTATTTGGATTTTGTACGAAATTAAATTAATTCTTCTCTGTCCTGTCTAAAAAAAATCAAGTTTGTTCTCCATTGATATAAAGTTTTACAAACTAAAAGCCTATTCCTATGATCCATTAATTTATGATTGACTAATGTGCATACAGTCTTAAACATAATGTATGGTTTCCAAGAAAAAATATAGTTTTACCTGCCGGGATTCAAAATTTGTACAACTTCAACTTCCCATGACAAAGTTTATATTATGATTTAGTGGTGCACGTAGCAGTTCCCTACCCAATCTTATTTAATTTGCCATGATATAAAATTGTACAAACTTCTACTATTCCCATGACAAAGTAAACATTATCAACCGATGAACGTAATCTAGTGCCTTCAAAAGATAATCTAGATTAACCTCTCTGGTGAAATTTCTCATACTTATTACGTCCATGTCAAATCCACTGGTACATTATGTTTGTTCCCATAAGGAAAAACCAACTCTCTAGTTTTATCGCTCACAATCTGAAATTTCACTGCTACTTGACAAAGTTTTCATGATCAATGCACGCAACAGTGCCGAACGTAAAGTAGTGTTTGCATGCGCGGGCCGAACCCACAGCAACGTTCACCGTTTCACACATACCTTCTTCTTCAGTAGTAATCTTGTTGAGGTAGTTGCACGTACGTCTCAGCACTAATATTACTGAAGAAGACCTGGGATGTGAGGAAACTGTGGACTTTGTTTGTTGTCAGGACTGCTGGCCGCTATTGACGTGTTCCTTTTGCCCACCGGTGAGTCCGAATCTTCAAACCTTTGCTTTTCTCTTTCCTTTTTTTGGGATTGTCGATTTTTTTACTTTTTTGCTTCTAGATTTAAACTGTGTTTTGTGACAGTGAATCATGTGAGTGGGGTTGGTTTTGTAAAGATTGTATAACAGTTTAAATAAATTGATAACTAGTTGGTTATTAATTTGAGTATGGGTGTAATTTTCTGATTTTCCCCCCTTGAAATATATAACGAATAAATGTTAAGAAAAGAATTGTGTTGCAATCCGTGGGAAATATTTAATGAAGAATGTTTAGTTAGCATGGAAATAATTATATATTTTAAATATTGATAGTAAAAACTCTGGTAGCTATATATTAAATATACAGGAAAATATTTTACCTACGGCCGTGTTTTTAAGTAGCCGTTTCAGTTCAGTTCTTAGAATTGAAAAGTTTCTCATAACAACATTGTTTACTTTCATAACAGCATAGTTTTGCTGATAATAACACGGGTAAGGGACCAATGAGGTTCAAGGGTTGAGAGAGAAGAAGTAATATTGTAATGATTCAATCAAACTTCAATTAATGATCTGTTCAGGCCAATTTAATTGTTAAATGGTGCAATTAGTGTTTGGTACATTTTTTCGTTGCATCACTGTCAGTGGCAATGAGAGGTTATAAACAAAAACATAACCTTTCTTAAAAGTTATGAGTACAGTAGTGATTTTAATAATTAAAACACTGTCGTAGGTAAAGTAGTGTATAAAACTTCACGTAAATAGTGTTAACGACACTCGTAGAAGTTTTTAAGGCATTTTCTATTTGTGTCGTTAACACTATCTTTACGCAATCGTTGTGTAAACTACTAAAATCTCATATTTTCAGATGTTACCTCATGATTGCAAGTATAGTTTCCTGTTGTGAAAAGCTGTGTTTTCCTGGGCACGGAGAGTGGAGAGTGGTGTGCGGAGAAGCGTTTTTCCACTCGTCGAGTGGTGGTCGGTCTGCTCTGCTGCTAAATTATTTAAGACAAGACCGCTCTCCACTTCTGTGCCTAGAAAAACCCCTAACTTCCCTTAGTCCTAACTGTACCTTAGTTCTTAACTTAAAATAGTCCAAAAAAACATTGCAACATAGAACTCTTCAAAAATCAACACGATTCATGCAAAAAATAGAGTTTAGTATGAAATTGTTTGTGGCTTGAACCATCTCATTGGTAGAAGGTTTGAAATATCTCATATTTCATTTAGAAGAACCAATCTATTTTAACGGACAAAGACATAATATTTAAATTTATTAGGCGACAAATATATTTTTTGTTTTAATATGTTTGCATTTTTGGAATGCCTTCTACTCTGTACCATCAGTTGCATTTTCAGTTAGAGGTTTAGAAAAATCATGATTGTTGTGATTTCCCCCACTGGCTTTTGTTGACTGGTTTCGTGGCTTGGTGTTGTTTAAGGTGTTTGTTTATCTTTCTGATTCCTATTGTCAATAGAGATACTACCTTTTTCCTTGTATGATCCTAGGGAGTACATATAAGTCAGATGCACAAATATATCGTAGGACATGCATCAACAGGCACAGTCAGGTTCAGACAGGAACAGATACGTCAAAACATCACTTCTCAATATGTCACTGCATGTTTTTTGTACTTTTTCACCTGCACATTTCACCTCTTCAATTGTTTGAATACTGATTTTAGTGGACTTTTTGTTTATTGATTTTTAGAATTGGTAATGGTTTTGTTGATGTGACGTTGAAGGTTTATTGTACTCTAAAAGGGAAAGTTTCAACATGTTCAGACTAGGTTGGTCGAATTAGTATGAAAAACATAAACAAGACGCAGCACTAAATAATTAAAGGGTCTTGGAATACATATAGTGAACCATTATCCCTGCTTATAGCTGTTAATATTTGCATCCTTGGAGATATTTTGTTATATTGCTTCCTCCTCCAAATTTACTGATCGCCACCAACTCACGCTCGATGTTCCAGAAAGAATATATGTATCATACACTAAATAAATGTCCATTTTTGTATGTTGGGTAAGAATATCAAATTAGAATTGGTCTATTATGTATATAATTTTATTGTACCTTTGTCAGATTTAGAATAGTAGTTTAGTTTTAGTTTTATTTACTTTATTTTCTTTTATTTGACCATCAAACCAAAAGATATATTGTTGCAAGCAAAAATAACAAAGTGGAAATCTCTTTTTATATTTGTTGTTTTTAAATATAAAGTTACGTAATTAAGTTCCTGTTGTGTATGTTTACGTTACTTGATACAATTTTTCAAACAATATTTTATACAAGTTAACGCGTGTTTATTTGATTTCTATTTATGTAATTATCTTCCATAAACTGTTAAAATTTTTCAGAAACTAAAACTCAATATGTCTTATAATGTGTTAAGTATGGTAGTGTTAATTACTTTCCGTAGAATTAATAATAGGTACTATGCTGATCAAAAAGTTATTTAATTTTTTTTACATTTTACAAATTATAACAATTTTAATAAGTTTGGTTTGATGGTTGCCGGGCCTGTTTCTCACTAATATATAACATTCAAGTAGTGGTCTTCTTTTTAAAATTTAAAACAATTGTTTAAAGCGAAACGATTAGTGGCAGCTTGATCTATTTCAAACCATCAAAAAGCTACAGACTTTTCTCAGGCTTAAATTGGTGACTTTTACCTTGTCAGAGTCTTTTTAATACCAATGGCTAACCAGCTGTTGACAGATTAACCAACAAGATAAAATAAAACAGTGACGAAAATTCACATGGTTTTTCACCGATTGTCAGACCGTTAAATGAAGGGTGACAGGTTAATGAGAGACAGGCTGCGGTGGCGTTTGTTTTCTGTTTGCCGTTTGTTTGGTTGACGTTGTTACTCACTTGGCCGTCTGGCTGCTGGTGTTTGACAGGGTCTAACATTGCAGATGATGAGATCAAACAGGCGGAGGAGAAGTTTGCAGAGTCGCTGCATCTGGCGCAGATGGGGATGTTCAATCTGCTTGAAAACGATGTAAGTACCATTGACTTTGAGGTTCTTGATTGAGGTTAGTTGCCTTCAAGAGCAAATTTATATCCAAACTAGCTGGCCCGACAGACGTCGTCCTGTCCTAATGTGGTTTTATGTCAATGCTCGTTCATTTCCAAGATGAGCTCGTTCGCATGGCTCAATCACGTCCTGGTTGAAGTTCGTTTGCTACGCTCACTCACCTTTAGGTTGGAGCTCATTTGCTGCGCTCCCTTGCCTTCAGGTTAGCTCGTTTGCTACGCTAACTCGCCTCCGGGTTGAAGTTCGTTCGCTACGCTCACTCACCTTTTGGTTACAAATTAGCTGTTGTCATAAATTAAGAAAAATATAGTGCTGCACCCTGTTGGTAAACCTATTACCTTTTTAATGCTATTGAACATCACAGAATCAAATTCTTTAGTTGAACCAGCTGTTAAGATTCTTTAATTCCATTTAAATATGAGTACTCATTAGGTTAACATGGGAAACTCCAGAGCCACTGGGGCGGAGCCCTTTTGAAGGATCTTCACCAAACTTCACACAAACCATCCTTGAATAATGCTTAATAATGCCTGAAAGTTTCATTACAATCTGTCTAGCGGTTTCGGAGTCCATAAAGGACAAACAAACAAACATACATACAAACATACATTGGATTTTATATATATAGATAATTAGGGACATTAAGAAAGGAATATTTTTGCAGAATTTATTAATTTTGAAAAGATTTAAAAAAATTTTATGCTTAAGTTTCTAAAAACTTAGATGTAAAATGAATGACCTATTGTAGGTGATCCTGATTGAAAATGACATTTCAGTATCAAGTGTTGTGTACAATTAAAATTTGTCTATTGTCCAACAGTTCTTGATAGGTACCAAAAAACTTAGAAATAAATTTACAATTAATTATCTTTTGAAACATAACAACCACATTGGTGCTGCTAATTAATAATATTAATTTATATGTAAATTTTACTGAGTTTTGGGATTTAAATGAGTTAATGTATACACATAAAGTTCTCTGAAATCACAGCAACTTGTGACATGTATAGTTATAGAACGAGTGGTTTCACAATGAATGTTTCACATATTTTTTTATACAGGTGGAACAAGTGTCACAGCTGACTTCTTTTGCCGAGGCGTTGTATGAATACCATCAACAGTGTACGGAGATCCTACGCACAGTCGTTGAAAATCTTCAGGAGAAGTGAGTCATAATCATATTACTGCACTATTTGATATATGCGTGCAGCTAAGGTGTATTTGATGTTAATCCCTGTGGAATGGGTGGACGTTCTGGGGTCGGTGGTTAAGATCAGCTGTCTGTTCCCTTAGGACCATGTTTAACAACCTTATGATCAAGAACAGCTGAGGCCTGTTCTGAACTATATTTTGAAAAGTTACTGCACTGACTTATAGCCTCACTTTTTTAGGAGTTTTGTCTAAAAAGTGCTGTGAGCTGCACTGGCAACACCATCTAAAAAAGTCTTATCCGAATTAACATTTACCTTCTTTTGAAAACATGTGTCTTGTATCTGTAGGATAATTTTACTGATTATTTTTTTACAAATTCCGTTTCTAACCATCTCATCACTTTCGCAGGAGGAACGAGGCTGCCAACAGACCTCGGTCGGAGTTTGTCCCCAAGACTCTGGCAGACCTACATGTGGAGGGAATCTCAGAACACGAGGATTACAATGGTGGGAGCATTTTCCACCTAAACACAGAACGAGATGACCCGTTTGACCCCTGGAGTAACAACAAACCCCCCGCCAGAGGTGGTACCAGTTTGTGGTGGTTGTCCAATGTGCACACTTCTTTGTTAAACTTGCAATCGTTCTTTTATCGTTGTGGATCACTATCCCTCCACTCACATCCTAGGACGCTATGCTTTAGCCTGGGACCGTTTTACACAAGGTTTAGAGGGTCGCAGCATTGTCTCATAGCTAAAACCATTAGTAATTGGCTGGTTTGAATGGGACCCGGGGGTCTCCTGCTACACCAGCCCACTTCCCAATGGGTTTGCTGGAAAACGGGGGATAGGATAACAGAAAACCCTTAAACCATAAAAAGCCACGAATGAGCCACGAATTATATCAACCGTGAAAATACGGAAGTTAAGCGGTGATTTTTGAAAACAGAAGAGATAGGTCAGTTCCAGTTCTTGATTCCTCGGATAATTTTGGATACTTGACTTGGATTCATTGCCAATTCAAGATTCTTGTCTAAATGTGAAAAATTGTGATCATGTACCCTGTTTATGGTAACATCATCGTAGTCTCCTGTTTTACTTGCTACTGAAATTTTGTGCAAATCCGTTAACACTTTAATATCTTGAGAATCCTGTCTTGAAAAAATGCCAAAATTATTAATATCCGCAAAAAAAAAAGGATGAATAATAGTTGATAGATCATAACAATTAACTTTTCAAAGTCCTTAAGGTAAATCATACAAGAAGTGTGCACTATTCTTCTATCCATTTTAATTTATTTTTTGCTTTAGTTAACAGAATTTTTCTTGCAAAACTTAATTTCATTATATTTTTAAGTGAACATTATTTATAAGTTATTTTTTCAAAGTATTTTATTTCAAAACTACATAGAAAGAAGCGCAGCGCAGACACATTAAACACAGGATATTTTGTTCCCTGAGCGACTTTGTCCAGTGTTTCTACTCTTGTTCCCTACTCTTGACAAAGTCCTTCAGGAGACCATAACCATTTAAGTAAAGTTATGGGAGTCTAAACATTTCCTTTGTAGTGTTTGTACTCTCAGATAAATTTATATTATTTTTGTAATATCATAGGTTTAATACCTTGTTATAACTACTCCCTTTGCTGTGACATAAGTTATTTTATCTAGTGTAAATTTTAAATCAATTTTATCTCATTTTATATTGTTATATCTTTGATGGAACATCTTCAGGGATATAAATTTAAAATTGTCAAAATGTTTTAGCCCAAAAGGAGGTCTATTGTGGGTGATTTCTACTTTGTGGCATGAACATAACTTTTTATAAGACCTATTTTTTTAGCCTTTGTATTGTATAAAAATTCATTAACATCATTTATTTCATTTGTATTTTTTCTGTTAATCCTGCATGGTTTTGATAAACAAGCACCACAAACTTATCTGGTTACTTGTTCCAAGTGGTATTTCGCTCTTGTGTTTATGGAAAACTGTATTTTAGACATAGATTAGTTGTAATTAGGGGTGAATTCACTTCCATCCAATAAAGAAACAGTAAAGTTTAAGCTATTTAGGCTGCCTATCGGCAGGATGATGATATTCATATCATTATCTTAATTCTATAAATTTGTTTTATTTTAATGTATGTAATTTTGACGTTCAATTAGGTCATTTAAAGACCAAACTAACAGAAATTTATCCATTTTATCAAATTATTTTGGAAATAAAAGCTCTTCTTGAGTATAATAGTAGACGAGTTCATAAATTAAACGTTTGTGCAGACTATAGAGCTAAAGAGATACAATATCTATTAGCTCTAGATCGGTATTCATTCATAAATCATTTTACAGCATATAGATTTTATACATAATATCCTTTTAGGACATTTTGCTATTGACATACAGTACAACCTCGCTAATGTACCACCTATGAGTCATGAGACCGGGACCTTGGGCGGAACAATGAAAAGGTTGCATTATCTAAGGAGCAACATATTCAGAATTTCGCCTTGATTGTGGAAGGCTATGATAATTTTCTCATGACCACAGGAGATTATTAATATTTTGCTTTAATCAAGGGAGAGGATGATGATATTTACATTAAGAAATATTAAGGAGTTTGTTGCTGTTGCAGTTAAACCAACGATAAAGTTTTCGTGATCGCGAGAGACGTTGATGATGTCCCTGAGAGTTCGGGAGATGTTAAATAATTTGCTGCGATCGCCATATTCGAAGATGATTTTTCCGATGGCCATGGGAAATTGTCTAGTATTTTTCCGTGATCATGGTAGACAATCATAATGTTTCTGTTACCGCATTAACGCAGGATATTTTGCTGCAATTGCCAAAGACGATGATGTTTTAAACGACGGGTTCATATACAATTTTGCCGTAACTAGGGAAGATAATGGTAATTTTCTGTGACCGCGGAGGATTAAAAATTATATAAAGATGGTGATGATGTCCACGGGTCCAAGGGAAATGGTCACAATAACATTGCAACCAATAGGCAATGGCACGGTCGGATTAAGCGAAGAGTCGGACTGGCCGAGGTCGGATCAGTGAGGTTCTACTGTATTAACAGTGTTATAAAATTGTTTACAACTCAGCAAAACTAAACTGAATCTAACTGGAAATACAGTAGAGATAGATCAGGGAAAAACCATTTGATTGTAAAACTAAAAAGTTAAAAAAAAAACATCAATAAACCATGTATTCTTTGTTATTGCTCGTGAGTGTAGTACATTTGTAAGTGGTGTTTAGGAACATCTCAAGCCAACTCTCCGACTCACAAGCCCAACCAGTTGGAGCTCATCACTAACAACCAGCCGCGCTCCACCAATGGTACGATCTACGCTACGCTAAAGCATGCGCTATCCTGCATGAGCGCTGTGCTAGTTGTTACTTTATGGTGTTCTCTAAAAGTTCTGCTGATCCTACTGTTTTTACACAGTTTTTACCCTAAGTCATGAATGGCGCAAGATTTTATATATTTGTTGTTATACAGCAAAATATTTTTTTTTATACAGTCCCTTGATTTACGAATAATTAGTTGGACAGCATGACAAAAATTTGGTTTATCACTTAGGCCAAAATGACTTAGCTCATTTCCTAACCTCGGCTTCGCAATGGCCGTTAAATTAAAGCTTTTGTCAAAAAGAGTCACTTTAGGCCGTAGTGATGAAATATACTCTAAGCTGTAGGTGGGCAATAGCCCTTGTGGTTTTGCTTATTTCATTTTAACACATTAAAATAGGAAGGCTTTTTACATTATTTTACCTTTGTCAAAATAATTATGTTGTATGATGATGAGTAGTTCTAGGGAAAGTGACTCCTCATGTGTGTTAAATGTTTTATTTTCATTTCCTTGAATGTTTTAGTGTTATTGTTTAAGTGTTTTGTTTTATTTTATTTTCTTTAAAACAAAACAAGTTTTCCAGTCATAAAAATACACTCTGTTTTAATGGTCATGTCCATTTTAATGTTGGAAAGACCCTGATTTGTGTAAACTACTTTTTATTCTTTTATTATTTTATTTTTAGAAATTGTTTTATTGATAACTTAATGTAGTGCATTATCTGGGAAATTCTTTAAATTGCAGTAAATCTTATACAAAATTATATCAAGTTTTTATACTGTATGTCGTAGGACTCAAAACAAAAATATTTATTTGATTTCAACCAATATATCATTGTGTAAGTAACACAAAAACTGTTTTTTAATAGGTCAAGTCTAGTGTTATTTATTGGATTTTTATATTGGTTTTATATTTCAGATGAATCTGAAATACTTGATCTTGATACCTACTTTGTTTTGTTTGAAAACTTGATTTGTTATAACTTATGCTTTGGCTTTCAGCTTTTGCCATTTTCTTTTTAATCAGTTATTACTAAAATGATTGGATTAAAACCTATTTATTTTATGGTCGGTTACCTAAATATATGACAGAATACAATATTTTAGTTGACGTTTTCCAGTTATGTAACCCTTGCATTTTGTGGAAATAAAAATTCATGATTCTTTTGATTCTAAAGGCATGATATTTGTTGAAGTTACATTTTCTGTTTGATATTATATTTTTGTACCATTACTTAAAAAAAACTATATTTATGTTTTTTAGTTTAATTTATGTAGGTTTAATTTTCACGTGTTTAACTTATATTAGATTAATTACAGTCATTTAAATATTTATCAGTTATTTACTGTCAATAGCTGCAGTCAGTGTTTTGCTCAAAAGTAGTTCAATGGCCCTTTAGCAGAGTATGCTGTAATTTATATTTCCTCTTTAATACTTTGATTGTTGATAAGGACATAAAAGATGTAGTTTAAAATAAGTTGCCCTTTTACTTTGACTTGATTAAAAAGTTGTTAAGAAATAACAACACTGAGATACATAGCAGCACAATCTATTTAATTGTCAATGGCTTAATAATCATCTAAGTTATTTTTATTTTAAAATTGGCTACAACTTAAGCATGAATTAATTTCCTGTTTATATTGTATAAATAATTATTTTTAGTTACCTTCCTTTTATGTTTAGTTTGGTTGGAACGGCATAGGCCCAATTTAGTTTATTATCTTTCAAATTATTATTTGCTTACTGTCAGCCTATAGATATATTTTGTGTTGCATTCTAATTATGCAGAATATAATATGCTTGGATTATGTTCTAACTAGATATTTTTTGCGTAAAAGGTATTATATTTGCATGTAAAGCATTATAATGGAAATTTAAGCTGTGGTATCTTACTTAATTATTTTAAAAGCAAAGTGATGGATGAAATTTAAATACAGGTTAGTTTACTCGACATTTATGTTTTAAGAAATATTTCAGGAATTCAGTTACCAGATTATTCTTACAGACGTTTCTTTGCCTATTTCATCAGCTGCTAAAATATAAAGTGCTTATAAAGTGGTTCTGTTCATAATCAAAATAAAATTGTTCTCATGGAAAAGTAATGAAAACTGTTAATTTAAAAAATAAGTATCTTAAAATAAGCAAGCAAAGGTAAAAACCAAGATTGTAAAGTTTTTTTTTAAGTTTATATAAACATTCTAGGTTTTTTATAATTAAGGTAAATTCTAATTGAAAAGCAGTGCAACGTCAACAGAATGTTGTGTATTGGGATATAAATTGAATTTTTGTTATGTGATTTCTTAGATCTTTGTAAATTATATTAAATTTTAGCAAAATGTTTTAGCGACTATTAACATTATAAGAAACCACCTTTATAACAATAAAAATAATTAGGTTTGAACAAACTTGTAAAATTGTTATGTCTTTGTTCTACAGCAGACTACAATGTGTAGTAAGATGTCAAATTTAAAAATAATTTTTAATATATGTATAAATAAAAAATATTGTATAGGAGGTAACTTAAAATATAAACGAGTTATAGTTTAGATGTTTAAAGATATCAAGTTAACCCTTTCAGTGCTATGAACCGATATATCGTTGTTTTAAAAAATCTCTAAGGGATATAGAGAGGAAGGTTATTTTAACAAAACCTATCTCTCTGATATACGTATTGTAGATCTACGTTGAACATACATTATGTTTACATATAATCTACGGATATTTAATGTCCATGTAGACCTTAAATCGATGTATATTGTACGTTAACAAGTGGGGAAATTTGAGCGTATATTATACGTACATTTTACGTAACCTATCTCTCTGATATACGTATTGTAGATCTACGTTGAACATACATTATATTTATACATATAATCTACGGATATTTTATGTCCATGTAGACCTTAAATAGACGTATATTCTACGTCAACAAGTGGGACATTTGAGCCTATATTATGCGTACATTTTACGTAACCTATACGTATTGTAGATCTACGTTGAACATACTCAACAAGTGGGACATTTGAGCGTATATTATACGTACATTTTACGTAACCTATACGTATTGTAGATCTACGTTGAACATACATATAATCTACGGATATTTTATGTCCATGTAGACCTTAAATAGACGTATATTCTACGTCAACAAGTGGGACATTTGAGCCTATATTATGCGTACATTTTACGTAACCTATACGTATTGTAGATCTACGTTGAACATACATTATATTTATACATATAATCTACGGATATTTTATGTCCATGTAGACCTTAAATAGACGTATATTCTACGTCAACAAGTGGGACATTTGAGCCTATATTATGCGTACATTTTACGTAACCTATACGTATTGTAGATCTACGTTGAACATACATTATATTTATACATATAATCTACGGATATTTTATGTCCATGTAGACCTTAAATAGACGTATATTCTACGTCAACAAGTGGGACATTTGAGCCTATATTATGCGTACATTTTACGTAACCTATACGTATTGTAGATCTACGTTGAACATACATTATATTTATACATATAATCTACGGATATTTTATGTCCATGTAGACCTTAAATAGACGTATATTCTACGTCAACAAGTGGGACATTTGAGCCTATTTTTATACGTACATTTTACGTAACCTATACGTATTGTAGATTTACGTTGAACATACTCAACAAGTGGGACATTTGAGCGTATATTATACGTACATTTTACGTAACCTATACGTATTGTAGATCTACGTTGAACATACATATAATCTACGGATATTTTATGTCCATGTAGACCTTAAATAGACGTATATTCTACGTCAACAAGTGGGACATTTGAGCCTATTTTTATACGTACATTTAACGTAACCTATACGTATTGTAGATTTACGTTGAACATACTCAACAAGTAGGACATTTGAGCGTATATTATACGTACATTTTACGTAACCTATACGTATTGTAGATCTACGTTGAACATACATATAATCTACGGATATTTTATGTCCATGTAGACCTTAAATAGACGTATATTCTACGTCAACAAGTGGGACATTTGAGCGTATATTATACATACATTTTACGTAACCTATACGTATTGTACATCTACGTCGAACATACATTATATTTATACATATAATCTACGGATATTTTATGTCCATGTAGACCTTAAATCGACGTATATTGTAGGTCAACAAATGGGACATTTGAGCGTATACTATACGTACATTTTACGTAACCTATCTCTCTGATATACGTATTGTAGATATACGTATTGTAGATCTACGTCGAACATACATTATATGTATAATTTATGTATGTGTGCTGACAGGGAATTTTGTTTTGAATTATTGATATAAATAGTATGTCAATCCTGTGGGTATTGAAAAATGTCCATCTATAATCTTTTTTCTCCTCGCATTAACTTGATTTTAAACCAATGCATAATGATGATTCCAACTAAATCAAAGTTAAATTCAATATTACATTGTAAACTATATGTCTTTTGATCTTATGAGTTTCTGGTTTCAAACAATGCTATCAGAATATAAAAATGTATAGGAAAACCAGGAAAATTACAACAAAAACTAATTATATTTTCTTATTGTCTTGATATTCAAAATTAGCCTAACTAATAAAATAGTGACAACATTACAGTTAAAATTCAACATCAGATAGCGCTACAGATGGTTGTTCAATGTGTTACCAGGTAGCAGCACTAGTTAGTCAAGGACTATTTAGATGATATTTTTCAGTTGAAACACAACAGTGATCATAAATGTGTTCTTGAAACTTTGCTGCAAAACATTATTTTCCCTAAAATGGCTATATTACGATAACCTCGTCCAACTAAATCAAAGTTAAATTCAATATTACATTGTAAACTATATGTCTTTTAATCTTATGAGTTTCTGGTTTCAAACAATGCTATCAGAACAAAAAATGTATAGGAAAACCAGGAAAATTACAACAAAAACTAAGTTTTATTTAATATTTACTCCAAATACCGGGATTAATCTTTGTTATATATTTTCTTATTGTCTTGATATTCAAAATTAGCCTAATTAATAAAATAGTGACAACATCACAGTTAAAATTCAACAACAGGTAATGGAATTGAAAGGCAAACAAAAAAGCCTTACGAAATATGAATTATTGCCCTAGCACTGAAAGGGTTAAAATAACATAAATTTATTTTATGATTTATGTTCAAGCTGCATTTTAGGAAATAAATAACGTATTTGTTCTCTTAAATATCAATTAAGAACAATATAGTTTCAGTTCCTACTCAGTATTAAATACACTTGACAACTTATGTACAATATATCTTTCAACCAGGCCAGCTGTCCTTGATCATCGGGCTTTTAATAAATGCTCTTGACTAAATAAAAGTTTTGTGACAAAGCCCTAAAAGGCATTTCACTCCATTCTAAACTTATTGTATTCATTATCGTTTTCAATTAAGATGGAGATGCTACTATGTATGAAGTATTTTAACCCAAATATGAATGAAGAATGAGTGTAGAATGGCTTGAGATGCCTTTTGTAGCTTTTCTTTGTTACTGACTAGGATATGCTTTTTCATTATTCAGGACTATATAAAAGCCCAAGGATTAGGACAGCTGGGTCCAGTTTAAAACACGCCTAGGGGATGTTGCTGACTCTAAAGCGATGATAATGTAATTGAGAGCTAGTTTTGGGCTGTATTTGACGTATGATATTCTGTTGACAGCTTCGCCGATGTCGTCGCCCATCAAGAGTTCCCCAGCTAGGACCCCGGCAGGCCAGACCAAGGGTCCATGCTGCACAGCTCTCTACGACTTTGATCCCGAGAACCCTGGAGAGCTTGGCTTCAAGGTGTGTAACTGTTTTGAGTTATAGTGGTAATCTATATATTTAATTCCGTAGGTGAATCGGTCCTTACAAAATATCTCGAGCTAGGAAAAAGGTAGCATGGCTGTTGAGCATTAATTTTAAAGCTTAAGGTCCAAGGACGGTGGGAAAAATATCAGAAGTGTCGAAAATTACCCCTGCTCTTCCCCACAGGCCGTATACATCCAGTCATTTTGTAATGGAAGTACTGCTACAGTGTTTCCATAAGCTGTTTTAAATATACCAGATAATGTAAACATTGCTTAATTGTATGTTTATTGATTTTAGTGTTCTGGTTTTAGGTTAGAATGGCAATGCAGTGTTTAATTAAATGTATCAGGTTAGGGGAAGACCACGACTAAATTTGTAAAAAAAGTGTGTATTTAATTTCAATTTCAATTTGTATACATAACTAAAAAGCTTTGGTCCCCTAGTTCTTTATTGAATTTGACTTATGGAGGTTACAAAACATTGAGGTGACTCTAAATAAATACAGGAGAAGAATTTTAATGAATGTCAAATGGCTGGTTAGGATAAAGTTCAGCTAGCTTGCCTAAGAAAAACGTAATTAAAAATTTTAGTGTTCAAAAAATTCTTAGAGGAAAAGAATAGTGGACTTTATTTCCTAAAGCTCCACAATAATAATCTTTCAAGTTTACAGTAAAGGCTAGAGTCCAAACTCTGAACCAATTGGGACCGGGCTTCATTCGCTATTCATTCGTTAAATTATATGCTTTTATGTCTCTAGTCATGTTTGGTATATTATAAAGCTTAGATTAAAAGATACAAATAAATGTTGTTGTACTTGCATTTATATTTTGCTACGTTCCCAGGTTCAGTCCCAAAATGATACTTTAGTTACACAATTAAATTATCAAAGTCGACAACAGCCATTCAGATTGTTGACCCTACTGTTCATGCACAACTTATCTTTTCACACTTATTGTCAATTAATTACTGTTTGGTTCTAAGAAAAGTTGTAAGCTTTTTAATTGTTCGTAACTAAACTGGGTCTAGAGCCTTTTAGTGAATCACACTGATTAAAGTAACAGATGGTTTGAGCGATGGACAAAGCTACAAAAGATATTTTACTCACCCAATGCTTAGGCAATATTCATTAGGTTTAAATACACCCTTGTTTTGTCTCCATTTTTTTAAAGTGATGTATTCAAATCACAATTTTGTTAAGTTAAGTATCTAAGTGTTAATCTGTTTTTAGGAAGGGGACACGATAGCGCTACTGAACAAGATCGATGAGAACTGGTTGGAAGGAAGCGTCAACGGTCGCACAGGCTACTTCCCAGTGACTTACGTTCAGGTCGTCGTTCCGCTGCCGTAAACGTTGTAACTTCTGCTCCCTGCATCACTGCAACCGTCATTCCGCAAACGTTTACGCTACTACATTTGTAAAGGTTTCGTTTGTACTGTCGCATGTCGAGATCGGCGTGATGAAGGTATTTTTGTTATCTAATTGTATTTTTACATCAAATCATCTCCGCACTGGCGTGATTGTGTATGAATCGTACAAAGTACGTAAACCTAGAATTTTTTTCAATTTTATCATTTTTACAGATTTATATTTTACTGGTTTAACCACTTTTTGCAGTTGTTTTCTATAGTTATTTTATGTATACAATACAAGAATCATTTATGGATCCTTCTTCATTTAGTATGTCAGAAATCATTAAACGCATATCGCTTACTACTAGCTGTCATTCGGAGTTATTTCGCTAAGTTAGACTTAAGAGTTACAGTATTGTACGTTTAATACATATATTTTGAACGCTTGTGCAGTGATGCCAGGATTCCGAGGCACAGTTTAAGTAGGTAGATGCTGTTTTGTTTGCGTCCTTCACATCATCATGTATATATTGTATTTAGACTACCAACTATTTCTTTTAGATTAACATACGTATCATTTAGCAAATGTTAAGACTGTGTTATATACATTCTTGATTTAGATGTAGTCAGATTTGATTGTTATAGTATTTAAGAGGAGGAATCGTTTGGCTGGATACCCCAATTGTTATGAAAGAATTTGATAACTTTGAATATCAGGAATCAATGCTATGAGATGTATCAACTGTTTAAATGTTTGTATACTGAGCGGAAATTTTACTACTATCATCAACTGGTTTTTGTCAGATCACATTGAGCCCATTTAATTAAGGGGGTTTTCTCCTTAAGGGAGTTTTGTTCTTAAGGGCTGATGGTTTTTTATTTGATAATCAATATTTTCCCATTAGTTATAACTATTTAGGTGAGTTGTTGGTTCAGTTAATACCGCCATTTTCTTCGGGCCCAAGGCAGCGATGTCAAGGGTTCGGATCCTGGTCCCTGCCACTACTTTTTATCAGTACAGTTCCTCTCGTACTGTACCGGCTCACCCTTTGCTTTGCTGGATACGTTTCATAGGCTCGAGGCCTATTTGGACAAGCAAATACAAGGTAAAGAGGTTGGTGGCCTATTTTAATAGGCCACCAACCTCTTTAAAAAAAATATATTTTATTTATAAAATATATCTATTTATAAAAAATATCTATTTATTTATTTTCAACAATACAGCAATATTTGTGAGACTCATAGTGTGTATCAATGCTTGTTAACCTTGTTAACAATGCTTGATTGTTACAGGCAGCTAATAGTTATGTTTTGTGTCCGAGTGTGATTGATGATGTTACTGTATTTGGAAGATAAATTATTTCCCCTTAAAACCTTCCTCTGAAAATTCTGTAACAATGTCTAACTATTGACACGGAATTGAGGTAGACAAATTGTAGATTGTAGCACTTTTGAATAACGTAGACAAAGATTCCTCCTCGATTTAGAAACTTATTAAAGTGATGATTTAAATAAACATAACTTACTAAACACTATACCATAAGATTTGCCATATTGGATTAATGCCTGGACTAGCTAGCCATCAGTTGTTAACTTTTATCAGATATTTATATTGTTGTTGCATTTCATCTTCAAGTAAACTTGCAATGTGAAGGGTGTTTCACTTTATGGAATTATTAGTCACATTCCATAAATAATGTGAAATGATCAATTTGGAATTTATTGTCTCCATTTAGTATATCAGTATTTAGCATCTAAAAAATTACTATAATTGTATAGACTACTTGGTACTGAAACCTGTAACTTTTGAAAATTTGTTATTGATTTGGGGCAGGGTTTTAACACACTCAAAATGTTGTATGGAGTTGTAAGTTGTAAGTTTTTGTAAGGTAGCTTGGGGATTCTGTCCTTGGGAGCTCGGTTCAAATCTCGACAGTCACTATTTTTTATTGCTGTGTAATGCCTTGACCTAATGGTTCAAAGTCTACTTTAAGCTGTGAAAAAAGGTTGGTTTCTTAGGCAAGGAGAACTGATTGTGTATTGGAACTGTTTCTTTTAAAGCCAAGCAATTTTGAAAGTTTAAATTCATATTTTCCACTAAGTTTTACAGAATATGAAGTGAAGCACCCAGTGTGTATGGTTCATGTGTTCAAGTAGATAGGCACTTTAGCTAGTCTGTATCGTCTGAATGTTGCGGAAATTCTTCACTCTATGCTCCACCGCCTACTTGGCTGTGTCCTGACAAATACTACGTTGCTGACTTAACGAATTTAGTCATAAACGGTATTAGCAAACGGACACTTCCTCCCATTGGCTTGTCAAAGACCTTTATAATTGGTAAGCAGTGGGAGTAACTATGATGTTTTTAGGCAAAATCACCAAGGCTGAAATTTTTACAGGATGTGAGTTTGTACCATTTTGTTTAGAGTTTAGAGTCCATTACACAATCTGACGGACACCGCTGGGTGGCGGAGGAGCGAGTGCGTGCGTGATATGTATCCCTCCTGCATGTCACGCTGTTTGACAATACTCCCGCCACAGACAATATGCCCGGCCTCTAGTCGTTATAGATGTCTCCCGTCTCTCCTGGGCTGGTCACTTCTCTAGCTGTTTAAACGATTGTTTTACTGATTATCATAGTCCGAAAGTGTTTTTTTCTAAAAAACAACAACAGTGGCCAGTCAGAAACGTTTTCTCTACCACATGTGTCACTTTGGGTATATTTTTGTGGTTTACATTTGCTGGTTGTATTGTACAGCGCTGTGAATGGTTATATTTTCTACTACGACGTACAGTACAGTCGTATAGTTGAAGCAGTGCTGGCATAGCCGAGCTTCTCAGAATGTAAGGTGCATGAGTGCAGCCTGCTGTATGCTTTATACGATAAAATTATGTAAATATCATCGATGTCGATTGCCTCCATTTTGTGTAAATTTTAAATTTAGTACGTTATTTACGATCGAATATATAATTTTAGACTCTAATGTGATTTCGTTAAGCTCTAGATGTATAAGTAGGTAATTATTTTATAGTGCATGGCCTGTTTTTTTATTCAACCGTTGTTATTGTTGGATTATGTTGATTTTTTAAACGTTTGAACAATGTCAATGAAGAAAGCAATTTAACTTTTATATGCCTTCTGTATCATATGAAATTGATATTTTGTAATTATAGACATGGAGTCGAGGGTAATTGAAAACAAATTTATTAAGAGAGATATAGAGTATTTTGTAAGAATTGACAGTTGTCCTAGTAAATTGCTTTACACTTATAAGTAGTTTTGGTGTATTATAATGTTGGAAAGATGCCAATGCCGGTTACCGCTCTTATTTTTGAGTACAGTATTAATATTTAAACGCATATACGAGACCTAGAATTAAATGTTATTTATATTTTCAAAACATTAACTATATCCTCTTAAATGTTATCAGATTAACTGGGGTGCTTTTATACCATTTTTTGGCATAGAGGACAGTTAGTGCTTAAAAGCTATAAGTGCTTGCACTAAATTGATTTAGTACCAGTTAAAATGAATAGGCGGAAATAGAAACATAATATAGAAATTGATGCTTTTAAGGTGCTCAAAAGTTTTTGTTTGCAATGGAAAACACAATGTTTGAATAGTTTCACATGTTTTATTGAATTTTACACAATATTTTATGTCATTGTTTTTGCATGACTGTGTGCTACTCGAATCTATCCTGTTGATTCTCCATAAAGTCTGTATCTGTTAAAAAAATTAAAGTGAAATATATACAAAAATATTTTAATTGTTGTTACCTGTTTCCCAGTTACCCAATGCGTTGTGTACTACATAACACTTCCTTACACTATGTACATTATGGAAGATACAATAATTATATGATAATTGTAGCTTTCTGAGTTTCATTACACCCTGCTGCCTAGGTCAATCTAAGCGATTATAACAATGCGTTTTGGGACTAAAGTTTGGCTGTATTCTTTGAACCTAACAAGTTGTTTTTTCATAATGGCAAAACAAGATGGAATGAGGCTAAGTGGAATACACCCGGTGCTGGATTTGTGGCGGAACAGCGTTCCGATTCCTCTCTTTCGGAATGATAAATATATTTGCATAAATAGTACTGCAAATATAGGTACTGATCACATTAAATAGGTTACAGTTCTAGCACATCATTTTTTTTAAATCAAGCACTACAGCCTACAGATTGTGCATCACATTGCTTACATTGGGGTTAAATTCCTCAGAAGCAGGATGAATGGCCATAGAATAGACAATGTGTTTACCTGATACAAAGACAACAGTTATTGGTGCAACAGTTTTAATGACCAGTCACAACTGAGAAAGTGGGAATTATCTTCTAGACAATTCCAAACCTAAGGTAACATCTTCCATCCAACCCACCCAACAAGCAGGCTTACATACTTATTTACATATATACAGTGTATATAAAAGATCAATTGAAACTGTGTTTTGAAATTTTGTTCTATTGGCAATTCTTTTTCAATAACTCTCTGGACACCATATTATACCTGAAGAAAACTTTTCCTTAGCTGAAAATGCAGCAAGTATTTTTTCCACTATTTTCCCTAAAAAAAACCTTGGCCCCTATGCTCTATTCTATGTAGTACCGGTACTCTATATTGTTTTTCAGTTAAGTTGCTCATACAAAAGTATTTTGTAAACAAATTTATATGACAAAACCACAAGAACACAATGGCAGAGAGATAATCTAATAGTATAATATTCCATGTAGTTTTCATTACACAATCTGACACTTCCTTTTCATCACAATAAATTAGGAATTGTTTCAAAGGTGCAAGGTCTATGTTCTTCAGAACAATTGGATATTTGTTTTGCAGTTATAAATTTATAAACCTACTAACTTTAAAATATAATTTAGTATAGATGTAGGCCTATACCTAACTTATCTTTCAGTCTCCATCCAAAGACATTTATTAATTAGAAAATTAAAGGAATTACCAACAAAGTGTTGTAATAGGCTAATAGGTTTTATAATAAAATACAAATGCTGTAACAATAATTAAAAAAAATTGTAATATATTTTATTGCTCTTCTTAGTAATAACATCCAAACAACAAGACTATTTGCTTGCCAATAACTTACAAACATTACTAAAAAAATTTAGGTGATGAAGTTACATTTGAAAAAATTGTGTTATCACATTAAAAAAACCCCATTCACTTGACCTTTACAATACAAATTACTAGCAGGTTTTAAATAATAATCTGTAAATAATTTGTGATAAGACTACAAGGTAACAGTAGTTAATAGTGTAATAAAATATATAATATTACTATAACAATAAAGGACAGATTTTAAAATGTTTTATTGCTTTTGAAGCAATCTGAAATCGAACTAAACCATTCATTTCCATTTTACATCACAGGTAGATATACATATAATAAATTATTTAAAAAAATATATCAGTCTTAAATTAACAAGTAAAAAAAGGGATTCTTGGAGATAAAAAAAGGGTGTTACATACAGCAAATTAAAAACATCAAAGGCACAATCCAGGCATAGCCTAAGTTAAAAAGTTCAATTATACTTATGTATAATATATTGTAACAAGAGGATTTCTTGAAAATATTTTAATTGATTATGCTAAAATATAGGAAACTGGGACTATACCATAAGCTTACTTGTACAGCTAATTTAATAGATATAGAACGTCTTCCCAAATTGATTAATCATCATCTGAAGACAATTTTTACATCAGTTCCACCCAATTCATGTAGGTTCAGTTGGTGTAAATTAATTGTTTACAGAAGACTCTTTACAAACAATACAGAATATTGTGAAATTTCACATGAAATAAAAGTCAAATCTGCTGCCATTTAAATCTAAATACAGGTCTGTGTTTTCCATGTTTTCAAAGTTCCGAAATGAGCAAAATATATTTAATAGGTTAATGATACTATGTTAGTCTACACATCTAAATTAGTAAAAACACTTATTGCAAACACTGGTTACTGGTAGTATGGCGAAAAGTAGCAGGTGCAACTCACCCGGGAAGGTGTCGAGGTACTCACATGAAATCCCACGTTTGGCAACCTCACACAGGAACTATCAAGCTCATACCGTAAACACCCACTTCCTGACCTTGTGGCATGTACCGTACTAATTACAACTGTTTTTAACCAAATAAAAGGATTTAATTATAAGCAATAGTGTCCTCTAGTTTTATAACCAAATATTAAAGCGTAAATCTTAAAATTTTCCCTGAAATTACTAGTGTTTAATGTTACTGACATGAAACAGAAACAAAATCTGACTTCAGTGTTTAATTAGGCCTATTCAAAGTAAATTATTCGAGTGATGCAAAGTTGTTTGATTATATGGATGGTTGATTTCCTAGCAAATGTCACCAGTAGTGAGAAACATGGATTGCATACATACTCTGTAAACATAGCCTAGGCAAGGATCTGGCACACATCATGATGGACCTCTCGCCGAGTGTGTACAATTTCCGGGTTCGCTTGATGTCCCACACTTCCAGCACAAAGTGATAATCCACTCCTCCGACCAGCAGAATGTTATTGGTCAGTAGATGAACTTCTATAACCTCAAAATCAACTGAGAAAAACACTAGTACTTTAAGCGTAACCAGATCGACTACAGTTACAGTGTTGCCACTTCCAAAAACTAGAACCTGGTTATTTGAGTCCAAAGCTTTCGGGTTCATGGGATTGTCAAAATGTTTTTCCGCAATTTTCTCCCCTGTAACTGAATTGTGGAAAACGTAGCTTCCACTGTTTTCCCACTGGTCGCACGGTAAAACCACCACTTTTTCCTCAAACAACATAAACGGGATTGAGTGGTTGGATTCCACATAAAACTGTGTATATTCTAGTTTTTTCAAATCGTAACTATAGATTTTACAGCGGATCCCTCCGAAGTTTCCTCTTGAGTTTAGGTAAAGAGCTATGAAGAGACAGCTTGAATTTCTTCCGGTGCAAATGTTTTCCACACTTTCGTCAGTCACAGGGATGATTTCTTCTTTCAGTTTATTTCCTGAGGTCAAATCCCAAATGTGCATAACTGAATCTTTACCGTGGGATTGCTCTATAATTCCGATGAAGTAGTTACCTACAACCTCATTCATACTAGTAAAATCACACGGGTACCAACCAATGTTGTCAGAGTACCACGTGGATATTTTATTAATATCGGGAATTTTATCAGAAAAATCTTCTTCTTTATCAAATATTCTACAAAGTTTCAGTGACACTACACCGTCAATGATTATATACACTTGTAATAGATTACACTGCACTATCAATAGGCTATCTCCAACAGCTTGGAAAAGTTGGGCGTTCATCTGCTGGAGTAAATATGGTACGGACTGGACTTGAAAAGGCGTACCTTCAATGTCCCACACATGGAACATGTTTTTATAACCTTCGTTCAATAAGAGATACTTGTTTATTAATTCCGTCTTATCGATGTTACCTCTAGAAAATTTATATTCCTTGCATCTGTTGTTTCTAAAATTATTGTATAAGTGAACTTCATGCATGTATTTCAGTCTGTAGTCACATATTGGAGTTAAGCTTTCACTGTCAATTTTTGTTATTTCAAATGCAGGACTAACGACGCATGTCATATTTTCCAAATCTAGTTTTGTACTGCAGTGCCTTTTCCATATTACATTTTTATTTACAGCATTTCTCCAATCACAATTGACCAGACAACATGATAAGAGATCTTCAACAGGCAGCAGACAAAATATTTGTTCAGTTACTTCTTCGGGTAAATTCAAAGGATCCATTAGAAACCTAAAATAACAGTAATTATTAGTACTGTAAAATTAAATTTGGTTGATGATTAGAAGAAGAGGATGAGGCCTTTACTTATTAGAAATACCCCTTCCGCAGCAAACCTGCAGGCAAAGCGAACTTCCATTTGCCTGATTTGATTTTCAATTAAATCTATTTAAATAACATTAGGTTTTTTAACAAGTAGGGCCTCTGTAACCAATAACTGTAATCATATAGGCCTACTAGAGTATTTGTTTTTTAAGCTCTATAAAATGACTTATAGATAAATTGGGAAATTTTATATTTTGAGGGTCAAAAAATAGGGAAAACCTATTTTTACCAACTAAATAATTGGTGTAAATGCCTGCATTTATGTGATCAATGTGTTGCTAAATTGCACCCGGTTTCAACTCAGAAAGGAGTGATTGTCAGGCCAGTACAGATGTCTTCTTGCTTCATTCGAAGATCGTCAATTCATAATAAATAAATATACATTTAACACATGTTCGTGTACGTGTGCGTGTTAAATGTATTTATTTATTATGAATTGACGATCTTCGAATAAAGCAAGAAGACATCTGTACTGGCCTGACAATGACTCCTTTGTGAGTCGAAACCGGTTGCAATTTAGCAACACATTGATCACATAAATATGCAGGCATTTACACCAATTAATTAGTATTTAAATGTGATCAGGAGGCTAAAATTCAATATAATGAACTATTTTTGCCCCATAAAACACCTTTCCCATGGTCTGATCATGCTGGTTCAAGAACTCATTTAAGTTTATTCCGCTCAAATTATTATTAAATTTATCTTTATTAAATCTTTATTTTTATTAAATTTATCTTCAATACAAATTTTATCAAACCGATAAAGACCAGTCAACGGTCTTACCGTGCCACCTACGGTAATAGCTATTTCCCGTATTTAGGGAAATTTGCTGAAAAGGATTTTGTGGGTACCTTACTGACAACAATAGAAGAAAATGCACAGGGCGGATCCAGGATTGATACAAGATGGGGGCTGGTGTTTCACCTCTCAGCGACAAAAGATGGGAGTTCGGGATACCCCCTCAGAAAAAATTTTTGACCTTGGGTCATAAAAGTATATTTTAATTTTAATTTACTTAATAACCGATGTACCAGTACTTGAATTTCCAGTATAGTCCTAGAGTTGTCCAGGTTGTCTTAAAGTGTTGTTTTATCTAGTGTAAACTGGACATCCAAATGGGTGGGGGGGTTAAAATTGTGAGTAAGTTAGTTGCAAGACATGTGAAATTAGAATATTAGTTTTGTTGATAGGCCTATTTAATTAAACGTAGAGGATACGAGTCCGGTAACCGGACGTGAATTAGGGGTCCGGCAGTTACTGTCATATCTTAACCTAACTAACCAAACTGATAATGAAAAAATCAAATGATGGTTAAATTCTGTTCATGAAATAAAATTATGAATGCCCCAAATTCTAACAAAAGATGTAGGCCTACAGTTAAAATGAAATGGCATTCTAAGCCAAATCTTTGACAAAAATCTAGTGTCACCGATGGGATTCGATTTGGATAGCTCTTAGACATCAGCCGAGTACTCTACCCACTGCACCACAAACACTGATAGCTGCACTACGTATCACTGCGGTAACGGGGTTCCGGGCCCCCACATCACCACCGGGACGTCACTGCCGGACGCCCAAGTTAATCCACGTCCGGTTACCGGACGCGGATCCTCTGCGTTACCGGTAGGCTAATTAAAATGGGAAATTCTGAGAAAAGGAAATTTTTTTAAGAAAATGTTTTGGTCTTAAGTTGCTAAAATGTTAAACTTAGCCTATTATGGTACCCCTAGTAAATTTCCCCATGGGGAAGTAGCTATTACCGTAGGTGGCACGGTAAGACCTGGGCCCAGGACCAACTTACTTTTTTCATTTTGATGTGTCCAGAACCTAAAAACACTAGGCCTAGGCTTACCTAACTTATTCGTTTAAATTGTTATAAGTTAGGCCTAGGCCTATACCTTGAGAACAGACAGTAGGCTAGGCCTACTACTAATTAGTCAACTTGGTGTTTGATAGTGCATTAAAAAAATACATAGGTCTGTGTGTGTGTGTGAATGTGATAACTCAAACAGACTAATTTTGATCGGGTTTTGATGAAATTTGTTTTGAAAATGGAGGGCGGGATGGACTTGAACGAGTTTGTAGTGGGATTAGGCCTCTATTGAGTTGGGGGGGTTACAAGCCTTGATAATCTTTAGGCAACGTGGGTACCTACACTTCCATATCTGTTGGCACAAACAACCGAATGAGTAATATTGATTGTACGATTGTTTAATACGATATATCGAATAATCGATGTAAGTTAAAAATCGATATTTTCATTCGGTTGTTTGTGCCAAAAGATACTTTATGGAAGTGTACCCGGCAACGTATTATAAGAACACCTTTGGCTACTGTACGGATAGGCCTACAGCACAACTAGACATTCCATCCCCATCTCAAATTTGTCGCCAGTTTTTTAATCAAAACTAATTTTTAACCGACTAAAAGAAAGTGACAGTATTTTCTACTGAATACCAACAAAATAATTAATGTTGACCCAGACACAACCAGCCAAACCTAGGCTTAGTTAAGTAGGCTGTGACATCTAAAACGTTTTGTTTGGATTGGCTGTTTTGTTAAAAATACTTACTTACCAATTAAAGTGACATAAATGAGCATGTAGATTTTTCCTTAGTCCACTAAATAACACCAATAATTGAGAAACTTTGGCTTGCTATTTGGCTGTATCATAAGGGAAGATGATGATAGGGTCTACAAACTGATCCCATATTTGTCGTTAGGCTAGGCCAGTCAATTAAAAACTTGCTATCGAAACAAATACGAATAAAATCCGTTTGAATTTAAACCAAAATTAAAGAGCATAATAGGCAAACTAAAAGTGACAGATTTCATGCAGAAATAGGCAAATAGGTTAGAGTAGAGGGAATGGGGAACATAACCTAACTCTGAAACTAGGTTGCTATGCTAGATAACGAAAAGAGAGAAGCAGAAGAAATGTTTATTTTTGTATGCGCTCGCACTTGGGGACAGAAAGACAGGAATTCAATTTAAGTGAGTAATAACGTATGGGAGCATTGAGTATGTATATTACGAACCAAGAAAAAACGTTTGTTGATAATTGTTTATTTAGTATAACCACGGTAAGTTATAGCGTAAGAAAATTTTGTAGGGACTCGCCTTAAATAAATTGTCTACACCTACTAACAGTAGGCCTACTGTTAGTACTGTAGTGTAAGTATTTTATGTATGCTTTTGCTTATCTAGATCACCAATGAAATCCTATTTAGTGGTTCATTAAAACTTAAATTAAGTCTAAGTTTTCAGTTATTAAAAATTAAAAAATGGCCTTCAAATTCAAATATAATATTTATTATGGAAATTACAACTGATTAGCCTCAAATCAAATCAAATATCATTTATTCCATGAAAATTAAATGGTTACAGAAATTACAATGATGGCTAAGTCTCACCAAGTTAAAAAAAACTCGTCGGTGAGGTCCAAATTGATGCATAAAGCTAACAAACAAAAAGTTAACATTTTTTAGTTTTTTTTTAACAAAGATAGTGCACCACAAACACCGATAGCTGCACTACAAAAATACTATTTTTACGGTGGTTTTTGTCGCTTTAACTTGCAACAAAGTAATTGACAGCACACTAAAAAATCTAAATGTAATGACATAAATAATTTCTTTATATCCTTATGTCAGGTTCTTATGCTTTATCCGTTATGGCCTTCACTGAGACAATATGCAAATACAATCGTCTTTCGTCATAGAAGTACTATACCACCTGGTTAATCAACTGCCGAAGTTGAACTCTATTGATTCCCATGGCAGGTTTGTAAAAGCAATGAAGTTGGAGGTGTTGGCTTGGCTGCTACACTACCGAAGGAATGTCTACCATTCGTGCTCCTGCTCCTGGTGGCAGCATGCTTTCTCAACTTGCTTAAACTCAATTTTTACAGAAAACCTCACGTTCTGGGTTCTGGGGGATTACAACGGATGGTCACTGGCCTTTCTCCAGCCGTCATTTCTTTTTCTTCCTGGCTTTGAAGGCTCTTCACATTGCTACCTTACTTACTTGGTCCAATCCCAATGCCGGTTCTGGTGTTCTGCTTCGTTTCCCAACTTCAAAAGTCTTTTTTGGGTACGGGTTGAGCATGAGCATGGTCTACTTGTTTATCTATAATTAGTTTTTAAGAGGTTTGTGGCCCTTTCATTTGTCCGCCCATACAACCTACATACCTGTGTGAAGCGTAGACAGCAAAGCAAGGAGTAAGCCAGTACAGTACAAGGGCGAAGTGTACCAATAAAAAGTAGTAGCAGGTGTACTACCTTGTACCAAAGCATCCGAACCCATCACGATATCGCTGCCTTGGGTCTGAAGTCCTCAGTGGTAGCGACTTACCAAACCACGTTTTCAATACATTTGTATCGCACTCTTCCTCCCTTTAAGGTTCTGTTCAGTGGTTCCACTCCAGACCACCAATCTACATCCCATGTGGGACACTATCAAGGCATAGTATGTAGTCATAGGTTCCAAGAGGAATCTCTCAAACGTGCGTCGCGACGCAGTTGAAGTTTTCAACGTGTACAAAAACAACGCATTTATTTTGATTGCTTGTGTTCCGAGAATGCGCGTTGCAGCGTGCTCTCTGGTTGTAACGCCTCCATGTGTACGTAGACTATGAATCCCATAGACCAAAGTTGACGAAAATAGACATGGGAGTTTTTCGCTTTGCCGAAGGTCCACTGTTTGTAGATGCTATTCTTATGAACAGTGGAATCGCTAAATGGATCTAAGTGCCAGAAACGAAATGTTTCAGTAAGCAAAAAACTATTTCACTTCTATTAAAATTATTTTTAACTGTCAAAGAAATTACTTTACGATGCAAAACAAATATAAGCCAAGTATTTTTTAAAGAATAACAAACCAAGGAACCTTTTATAGTATTAGTTTAACGGAAAAACTTAAGTCTAATATGTTCTTGCCAATCAAATAGATCTAAGTACCAATCAGTGTAATCACTGAGTTTATTGACTCAACTCATAGCCACCTCTCAACTCCAATACTATAGCAAATGTTGAGTTAAGCGCCTGACGACCAATGTACGCAGCACATGCACATATAAGAGCTGCATGTAGCGTTGCACATGTTGAAGGCGCTTAGAAAAACTGCTATTTACACTGCAAACAGCCAAAATTATAACTGAACACTTCAATCAATACAATCGGTACAAAGATTTGTTTTAAATCAATGGCACTATCATAAGATTATGAAATAATACGAAGGATATTTTTAAGTTCGATACCTTACTATTGATGTAGATATTCTACTCCCATATTTAATTTGTAGCGCATTTCGTTTAATAATTGTATTAAATTAATTGTTAAACCACCGATAGAGATGTTGGTTAAATGGTTTAAATTATAGATTTATGTCTAATACGTAAAAAATGTCGACCAAATTAAACTCAAACGACCACTTCTTGCCACACAAATCATATTTCACATCAACTATCACAATATGGTATGTTTTGATACATCTGGTCCATTCTAAAACAGATTATTACCTACTAGCATAGTAGATGGCTTTACAAATTACAGTATCAATGTTGGAGCAACAACCTTTTAAAATACACAGTAGCGAATGGCACACTCGTCCCATGTTCTTTTTATTATAAAAAAATAGCAGTCCAAACATATGGGATGTCTGCACCTGATTGTTTGATGTTCATCATCGGTTTACAATAGCGCCCTGGTGCGAGTGTCGGCGTTTGAATCTAATCAAATCCAACCGATGGCCCTAGTCCGTCGGCCCGCGTGACCGAAGGGACCGGAACCAATCCTGCCAAATCACCCATGACCGCTTCCGGTCCAACATGGCCGCCGTTCCTCTCACCGAGTTATCAAATACCATGGTGTCGCATGACACTCGGGGATTAAAAAGCCTAAAAGAAAAAAAATACCTGTCCTAGTGGCGTGGTTATGGTGTTCGCCTCAAAAGGTTGCCAGTTCAATTTTGAAAAAAGTTCCAAGAGGGAATTCTCGACTATGCCCTCGTATTTTGGGCTATGAATTGATTTTGGGTAAAAAAAAACAGACGATCTTAGTGGTATTTAACAAGGTTTTAAACTTATTTAGGCTATTTAGCAATATTATCGTTAGCCTTCTTCGCCTTAAATATGCAGTGTAGTGTGGCACGGCGTGATACATTCTAATCTAGGATAGTAAGTTACATAAATATTGTTTTTGTAGTTTTATTTGGTTGAGCAAGGAAGCTTTGTAAGGGTTCGATCCACATATTTGGCCTACATGATCCAATGTGTTTCCCCATAGTTAGGCTACAATTAATATTATATTTCTGTGGTGCATTATTAATCCATCAATTATAGAGAGCACACAAACTATTACTTAAGTATACAAGACTATATGGTGCTGCTCTTGCGGCAATTTGATGAACTAATCTCAACGAGTTCATAACGGAGGGAGTTGTTCAATGTTTCCAGAAGTTTTAACAATAAATGCAAATAGACGAAAAAAGTACATAAAGAGTTTTCCCCAAAAATTATATTCATGCACATTGTAAAGAATAAACTTTTGCCAAAAATAGTTATACATTCCAGAAGTTAAACAAATAATGAATGTAAAAAGACGAAAATAAAAGTAGGTACATAAAAGTTTTCTCTAAGATCTCAACTTCATACACATTAAAAAAAATAACGACAGCGAACAAAATTTTTAAAATAATTATTCATTAACGAAAAATCACGCCTTGTATAGTTTTTAAAAATATCAACGAGTATTAATGAATGGAATAGTTAAAATACGCAAGGTAGATAACGGGCATTTAAACAGATAAGTAGGCGAAGGCACACGTTTATCTTATCTTTTTAAAGTCCGCTATCTTCTTTCTTTTTCTTCCTTGTCATTAAATATTTAAATTTATCTGCACGTCCTACTATGGAATGTCATTGATTTATCAGTTCATTCATTGACTTGGAATATTAGCGCTGTTTTGTTTTATTTTATTTGTAGGTAAATGTTTTTAATGGGAAATTCCAACTACTAATTTTGCGAGATAACAACTGGTTGATGTATTTTCTTTTCTCGTGTTTTAGTTCATTCAAATTGAGTATATTTTTTATAGTAGTGTTAGACACTTTGCTCCCTAATGTTTTGTGTGTTTTATGTGTTCATGTTTATTATTTTATTTGGCGTATATGTGTAAAATGTGAAGCGTATTTGTTTATGATGTCGAGTAAATTTATTTTACTTTTTTTTGTCGGTCCATTCCAAGATTTGTTCTTTATCCTGCCCTGATACTAAAGTAGGGTCTTATAAGTCCCAGTCTCGATAATTAAATATAAGGGCATTGATAAAGGATAGCGAATTAAATTGACCGTATGTCACCAAAATAAGATAAAGTAACTTGATTGCACGAATGACAACCGAATAATCGAATACTGTATTATGTGAAAGTACAAACAATTCGACAAAGAGATTCAATCACAGGGTTTGATTGCTGTGTTTCTTTGTTTAGTTGTATTGTGATGATTGTAATGTGGTACTAATGCAGGTTATGTTTTTGATTATATATTATCATAGACAGATTGTTGTCTATGGTATTATAATTATATGCCTTTTATATATATAGATATGTTTATATAGATATGTTTAGTGATGACCTCATGAGTTCTTTGCTGCTCATAGAACGCAAAAATGAATTGTGAAGAAAACTAACACTGTACACCGTACAAAAATTACAGTACTGTGCCACCATTGATCATAGAATCTACAGTTTACTACTTTTTTTACATAGCTTCCTTCGATTAATTTCACTCCGGTGGTTATCGGTCTACAATACAACTTTTGGACATAGGGAACTAA